GGATATAAAATTTAAACATAGTTCTGTTTTATTATATAAATTCTCTAGACTAACAACTCCCCATTGCAGAGACACTTAAACCCCAGCTCCAACGGAATGAGTTAGTCGCCGCCGTTGCCTACTCATTCACCAGTGCCCTTGTTTACAAACTCTCTCTCTCTCTCCCTTTCTCTCTCTATTGTCATAGTACACAGATCAAATAACGTGTAGAAATTAGATTTACTTGCATGCATTTTTTTATGCGTATTGTTGTTTCTTTGTAGATTTTTATATTTTTTAAAATTTGGGGTTGTAAAAGAGAATGAGATGATGATCAAGGTATTCCATTTCCCGTTGGTTTGATAGCCGATATGATGGCGTCTTATCATGTATTAGCTCTACCCGATCATTCTCTCCTAAATTATTATTTTGTTCTACTTTTGATTAATTTTCAGAATGATAAAGTTTGTGGTATTCTTTTAGTATGATTTCAAGTTGTATTTATATTGTGTTTTGAGGATGATATGATCATTCTGTTTGGATGATAGTACTAGTTAACAGATTAAAACAACGTGCCAAAACTATATCATTTTAACGGGAGAATGGCATGGACTTAAACCTGTTTTATTATAAAATTCAAACATAGTCATGTTTTATTATATAGATTCTCTAGGCCACCGACTCACCATCGCAGAGACACTTAAACCCTAGCCCCAACAGATCGAGTTAGTCATCGTTGTTGTCTACTCATTCACCAGTGCCCTTGTTTACAAACTCCCTCTCTCCCTTTCTTTTTCCACAGTCATAGTACACAGATCAAATAACGTGTAGAAACTAGATTTACTTGCGTGCATTTTCTTATGCGTATTGTTGCTTCCTTGCAGATTTTTATATTTTTTGAAATTTGGGGTTGTAAAAGAGAATGAGATGATGATCAAGGTATTCCATTCCCTATTGGTTTTATAGCCGATATGATGGCGTCTTATCATGTATTAGCTCTACCTGATCATTCTCTCTTAAATTATTATTTTGTTCTACTTTTGATTAATTTTCAAAATGGTAAAATTTGTGGTATTCTTTTAGTATGATTTCAAGTTGTATTTATATTGTGTTTTGAGAATTATATGATCATTCTGTTTGGATGATAGTACTAGTTAACAGATTAAAACAACATGCCAAAACTATATCATTTTAACGGGAGAATGGCATGAACTTAAAATATAATTATATACCAAATATGATTTATGTTTTAAATTAAATTTTTATTTTAATAAATGATATTATAGAATATGCATTTTAGGTATAAAATTTAAAATTTATTTTTGATTGGAGTATTTTTTGTTTAAATTTTAAAATATTTAAATAATTATAAAATTTAAAATATCTGATAAACTATTTTTGATTGGAATATTTTTTGTTTAAATATAATATTTTAAACTTGAGGGTTTAAGTTTATTATACCTCTATAAATTTTAGAGGGTTTGGGTAGGGGTACAATTTGGAAGGGTCAACCCGAATTCAACCCAAGCCCAATCCAAAAAAAGCAAGGCTTAGGTTAGAATTTTTAATATTTGGGTTGGGTCTAGGCAAAAAAAATCTCAACCTAAATTAAATTTGAACTCGCTTCGGGTTGAGGTCTTGGGTTGTAAGGTTCAACCCGATTATTAAATCAGATTGAATCCAAATATACATAAATAAATAAATAAATTTAACTAAATTTAGTATTTATTTTCACTCTTTAAAGTCTATATTTTCACTTTACTTCAAGTTTTAATCTCTGCGCCATCATCACTCTTAGATCCCTCTTTCACTCGTCACTCTTCCCTCTCTCACTCTCTCTTTCTTCATTTGCGTCTTGCCTTTCATCTCAGATCACTTGAAAAAATCAGATTTACATTTGAAAAATTCAAATTTATACTTAAAAAAATCAACCTAAAATTAAGCAACTTAAGCCCAACCTAATTTTTAACCCGAAATTAGCCTGAATTAAGTAACCTGAATTCAACCCGAACCTGCCCAAATTAAACTCTGGTAATACTCCGATTGATGTAGGGTTAGGATTATATTTAAAAATTATATACTTAGAGTTGCACTAGGGTTGACCTCTCAACCCGTCAATTGCACCCTTAGGTTTGGGTGTAATTTGTTAACGAATATGCTAAATGATATTGACGGTAGGGATCTAAATATTACGCGTATACAAATATTAAGAGTTTATGTTTAATATTTCAGATATTAAGGGACCTAAGTCATTAAATGACAAATTTTAGAGGTTTGAGTGTAATTCTCTCTAGAAAGTTTGAAATAAAGTTTATTTGGCCCACTACATAGTCCTGGACTTGATTGAAATCTGGGCCAACATAAATATTTTAGCTGCAAAAAGAAGGCCCATTAAACTTAAAACCCACACATTTCTCTCTCTCTCTCTCTGCTTTTTTGTAAAGTCTCCGGCACGAATTAGAAACTGATTTTAAATAGAAATGTTGTAACTTGTCTCTAATCAGAAAAATTAGAAACTGATTCAGAAGCAAAAAGAAGTTTTCAAGTGGGCCCATTGAACTAAATTTGAATAACAGGCGGCAAAATTTATACATATCGGCCCTTTAGCAGTAATTTTACAAATAAAACTAAACCTCTTATCCAAATATTAAACTTTATAAAAAGACTTTTTTTTTCCAAACAAAAATATTATCGACTGTACTTTTTTTTCCCGGGAAGTCAACATTTAAACGGTTTCTTGAAAAAGTTGTTTTTGTAGAAATTTTATTTCAAGATGATAACAAATAATATCCTACTTGCAAGTGACTATATAACAAAAAATATTAAAAGTGTTAACTATGCTATTTTTAGAAAAAATATATATATAAACAAAAGTTAGATATAAAAGTCTAATCGGTAAATTTGTATCATAAAAAAATGAAAAAGATAAGTTTCTATTTTCGGGACACCGACTAATAAGGGGCTTTGGGGCCCAATGGCCCCCTCACATTTAAATTTTTTTTTGTAACACCCGATAAGTTTTAGAAACATCTTATGTTTTCTCCTTAGATTCTAAGAAAATTTATGACAATCTACTTAGTATATTTGAAAAAACCAATGAATTGATATTTAGTGACCAAGTTGGGGATATAACACATGAATGGATGATGATTATATAACTGAAGATATTTGGTTGAACAAGTTTGATGATCAAAGAAAGTTCAAAAAACGTCTGAAATTTTTGCAAAACTAGATTATAATTGTCGTTTATTTCAAAAATAATATGTTTGACTCACAAATCAATTTTATCTTTACTGTGTGAAATTATTATTTGTGAGTACAAATTATTTTCAAGTAATTACATGATGTTATAATATGAAAATGAGAGGACTATGACACTATAACAAACTAAATTTTAAGCAAGTAAGAATTGGTCTTTGAATTTTATGACTCAAAACTAATTTTTACAATTGCATTGTATGAAATTTAATTTTGATACATTTTGCATAATTGTTTATCGAGTTAATAAGTTTTTTATCTATACCATTGTTTGGAATAAAATACTGGTTCTGTCCCCGTGTGGATATACATACAACTTACAAAGCAGAAATATCTAATAGTGGAATGCAATGCATATTGAGTGAATTCATCTAAACAAGTCATATTATCCCAAGTAACATGAATAAAGGGTTTGAGAAAGTTGTGTCAAATGAAGTTTATGAGAGATGGTGATGTCTGTTCCAAAATCACAATTGGCAAAATACTAGTTTTTGTCCTCTCTTGCTTTCTTTAATCAGCTCTCTAGCAAACAATGCTAATCTGTCCACATTCGCATATCAATCAGTCCCATCATCTCCTCCAGCATGTCTCTCCTTCAATATAAGCATCCTGTACTCTTCTTCTTCAAAGCCACCAATAAGTACCTCAAGTTAATCACCCCTCTATTTAGGCTGCTGCAAATCAGTCGCTCTCCGAGTCATGGCTAACACAGCAGAGGTCATGGCTTACACTACAGAAGTGGCCAGTGACGGGTTCGAGCACGATAGAGCAAAAGAAGTGGAGGAGTTCAATGAAACACAAGCTGGAGTTAAAGGACTCTTAGATTCTGGTGTGGCCAAAGGCCCCAGAATCACCACACCACCACCCAAAAACCTCCGAAAGCCATCCCCTGACACTGGCAGTATCCATTTCCAGGTTCCAATCATAAATCTGGAAGGCCTTGAAAGTGGAAATAATCGACGAAATATGTAGAGCATCAGAAACATGGGGCTTCTTTCAAATGGCCAATCATGGTATTCCCATTAGTGTTAGAGAAGACCTGATATAAGGCATAACGTGTTTCCACAAGCAACCCAGGAGCTGAAGATGGAGTGGTACTCTGGTGATCTTGAGCAAAGGGTAAGGTATTTCTGCAGAAGAGATCTTCACACGTCCAAAGCTGTGAACTGGAGAGATTCAATAGCTTGTAAGTATAACGAAGGTGTACTGGACTCTGATGAGTTACCTCTCATTTGCAGGTAACTTGCATAACCCAAACCTACTCACCTGCTGTGCATACCAAAAATTGCTAGTACCAGTTCTTTATCTTCTTAATAAAACTTGCAGGAAAGCAATAAGTAATTACATGGGATGCATCATTAAGCTAAAGGATAAGCTATCTACCTTACTTTTGGAGGCACTAGGGCTCAACAGTGGCTTCCTAGAAAGCATTGGATGCATGAAAATCGCAGAACTATTGCGCCACTACAACCCCTTTACCCCCGAGCCACACTTGACTCTAGGCACAGCCAGGCATTCAGACCCATCTTTCATGACTATTCTCCTGCAAGAAAACACTGGAGGCCTCCAAGTCCTCCACCAAAATCACTGGGTTGATGTGCACCCAGTGAAAGGAGCCCTAATAGCAAACATGGGAGATCTCATGCAGGTGAAGTTTCAGAATATGCAGTGCTAATTGTTTTGCATTTTTCAAAATTGAGATCTAATTTTTCGTCTTCAATTTATATAGCTTATAACCAATGACAAGTTAAAAAGGGTGGAGCACAGTCGGGACGAATTGGCCCCAGGATATCAGCAGCATGTTTCTTCTTCCCAAGTACCGCCAATAAATCCAAACCGTACAGACCAATTAAGGAATTTCAATCTAACAATCCGCCAATATACAGGGAAACTCACCTCAGAGAATACCTAGCTTACTACAGGTCACAAAAACTAGATGGTACCCCTTCCCTTCCCCACTTCAAGCTACAAGAAACAAATACTTCGTAATACATATATCAGAAATTACAATGCTGCACAATTGGCACCTGACAATGTTTAAAAACAACTGCTATTCGGCTCTAGTACAATGTAATCTACATTGTTATGCCATTGCTGTTCAGGTCTAGTTTAATTTTCAATAAAGTTTGTTTTCTAGCAGCACTAAGAATTTGTAAAAGCCCCACAAAATGAAATATCAAAAGAGGGATTATCATGGACAAACAAACAATAAATACCTCGTATCAAAAGAGGGATTATATGGGAGACAAACAATAAATAGCTGGTACAGGCACCATAAATTGTTGAGATTGTCAGACTTCTGACCAAGTGCCAAGTCAAACATCAATAAAGATTACAAGCAGGAAAAAATGTGTAAGAATAAGAAACCCAAATCACACAAAAAAAAAAAACATCCCATCTCCGCACCCTTGTAGCAGAGGAAACACGGCAAAGGAAAGAGAAGAACTCCTTTTACAGCAACATTTGTTTGCAAAGTGGAGCATAAACCATAAAATCAACAAAAGATCACAACTGACTCACAAATATTAGGAAGGCCCCACAACAGATACCAAGAGTCCAACAACCACAGCCATTGCCCTGTAGAACTGATTTTTCATTAAGATGCCTTCATGGCACGCAAAAGAGCTATAGCAAAAATTAAATCTTATTCCCAGATTGCAATATCTGAATGAGTGACCATAATACATCCATCCGATGCATGCTTTTGTTGTTCTGATCCTGCAAAGTTTACAGAAGCAAACCTTATTTAAGTCAAACAAACAGCAAGCATAAAAAATTTACCACCATGGTGGAAGAAATGCAAAGTTCAGAAGTATACTCTTCAAATGGAGGCCAGTATGTATATGAGGTCATACTATAAGAATAGTATCACTAAATTAATTCAGTTTAGAACATTGCAACTGAAGATCCAAAATTTCAACCATCTAACTAAAGATCAAAGTTCTTTTACAAAGGAGTGGACCATCTGCCTTACTTTTGAAGAAGTTTCTCTATTTTCAGTTAAACCCTATTGTGGTTATTTTTGAAGCAACGGTTTAAAACAACTCCAGACATTATCAACTAAAAATCAATGAAACATTACATAAAACCAGGGTCACAACTAAAGGTTGTACTCGGTGCACACAGCTCTCACCTCTAACAGGTAGTGACAAAAAGTAGTAGGCAGCTGTACCACCATCTTAGAAAGGCTATTTCTGACTCAAACCCACGACATATCACTTGGGCGGATGAGTACTTTCCATTGCTCTAGGTCAGAGTCGACAGACCCCGAGGGTCACAGACTCACAAAAGTAGATACGAATGATTTATGTAACTGCCACAGGCATAGTTCAGCTCCACATTGTTCTCAGTATCAAGTCAAACATACATCATAGTATGGACAAGAGTAATATATTTTCGTTGCACAAAATAAACAGAAATTGATTGGGCATATATTCCCAACCATATTTTTTTCCAGAAAATAAATAAGACAGCTGTTCGAGTACATTTGCAGTATCATCCATTTATCTAAAGCATAACAAGCACAGAAAATATAAAACCATAATTCCATGACATTTAAATTTTTCAACATTTAAAGTAGCTGCATTCAAACAGAACACAAAAATGCAATATTAAGATTATGTAAGGAAAGAGGTAAGACGACAATTGAAATTCCATTCTGCTCCTCATTTCTCCACATATCTCTTCCAAAACTAGGATCAAAAGAAGTAAATTTTAGCTCAAGTTGACAGAGATATCCCTTATGGAATTAGGATTTACCTCAATCACAAAACACATCCAGGTTTTCTCTCCGTAGGCTTCTGTTACACCTCTCAAAATTGTCAGACCTAAGCTCTTGATGGCTTCTGTTATCTCGAGAAAATGGCTGCATTCCTCGCACAACATCTGTGTCCATCAAACCGAAACTACAGAGAATTAAGGCATATTAACTGAATTATCTCATACTTTTAAATAGATTTTAGTTTCCGTCAATGAATGCAAACTTATTTGCATTACTGCACAACAGAACATTTGCATGCCAGACAAAGCTATACCTCTATTAGCATTAACCCATTCGTGTAAATATTCTCTACCATTATTGGACAAACTTTCAGGGGACTTCCCACTTCTACTGCCCAGCTTGAACCTTGCCCATTACTGGAGGATGCCCGTATACCTGTTTCCTTGTCGAGCAACTGCAGAATCAGCAACACAGAGAAATTACTGAAAAAATCATAAATGAAGTCGGTAAACCCAGTAATTAGTTCGTTTAAGAAAGCCAAAATTATATTATGAAATTCTATTTCCAGGAAAGGGTGTCCCCCCATAGATGTCATTATTTAAACAAGAAAATGAGATATTAAACACATTCCATATATGACTGCAGTTATATTTGGCTGTTAACAGACAAAATCAAAATGGCTGTCCCCAACTTCGAGCAAGCTTTGGCAGACGTACTTTTCAACAGATGAAACAATACTCAATTTTGATTAGGTACATTGGCATATCATCATACATTTGGTGAATAACTTATGGGTTAACTCCTCTTCCTTCCGATGAAGCTGTGAGTTAGATTCTAGGCACACTTGAGGATTATATTATCATCTCAACATGGAGTAGACAAAGTAATATAGTCAACTTCAGCAGAACAACCCGAACTAACAGATCTTCAATCCAGCAGGTTGGTCTAAGGCTGGTCGGCTTGGATCAAGGGTTAGGTTGGGTTGGCATGGGTATAGTTACTCTCACAGATTGGGCTTTGGTTGGTCTCTAAACTCATCAAATCCTCAAGAGCCGCAGACCACACCACACCCCTTCCACACTAAAAAAGGTAAGTAAAAAAAAACAGCTTCATTAAACAAGATGGGGCTTGAATAGGTTAATTATCCACCCAACTAAACCCCCTATTCAAAGTAAATAACACATCGAAGAAAATGAATGACAAAGCCTTACCTTAGATTTGGTGCATTTGTTTAGCTTTTCAGCATGCTTAGTCATGCTTTGCATAAAGAGCATGTGCTTGATTGTACGCTCCAAAAGTGAATCAATGCTGCACTGCATTTTTTCACAGAAATTTCAGGCACAATGATTATTTTAAAGAACCATGCCAAACACAGGGAATGGACCATGAAAATTACCTTTGATCCGTTGGGAACAAGCTCTCGCAGCTCCTTAATGCGGTCTTGAATCAATTGTCTGTCCCTTGGCCTAGGCCTACAATTTTCACCTGTTCTAGCCCTCTTTTTGTTCATCTTCCCTGGTTCTTGTGGTCTCTCCAACTGTTCACTAAATCTGGAAGGACTTGATGATGAATAACCTTTTGAAGACCCAACACCGCATGCCCCTGAGGAGTTCAAGCAATGTGACGTGTCCTCTTCTACAATAGAGGACCGATCAAAAGAATAACCTACCGAACCAGTGGTACGTACATCACTGGGAGGAGGCTCTGATTCAGCAGTCAAGAGGGAGTGTACATCTTTACAACATGATTTTTCACTTTTAGCATAACTATTGCTGGGGCAAACATTAGCCACCACTGCTTCTAGAAGGTGCTCTGAGCCACAGTTTGATGTCAACAGACTACTGCCATCCATTCCCTCTGGCATCTCAACGGTTGTTTCAGTGTTAGTATTGTCTGCCAGATGGCCCAGATCACAATAGGTACTCTGTTTTAGGTAAGCTGGTCCTAATGCTTCATACAGCTCACAGCCAGCAGAAAACCGGAAGGATGTATTTGGTGTTTCCACAAAATTGATATAAGTTTGGAACTCCCAGTTCTTCTCCAATTCTTTTTGGATTCCCATGTTTAAAGATTCTGATTCACAAAACATCCCATTCTGCTTATGGTCAAGAAGATCTGAAGGGATGTATGACATATCCATCAGAGAATTATCAGCAGAAAATGTAACATTACATAAATCAATTTTTGTACTATAGTAAACGTGAGAAAATAGAGCTTCATTACCTTCTAAACCCACCCTTTGATCCCTAAAACCCCTAATCTCCCCTTCACACTTCCCATCAGTAGCCAATTTCGTCTGTTCTACGTTCTGCCACTCCAAATCAAAAATTTCAGAAGTAGATTGAGGCAAGGTTACGCTTTCACCGAAACCTGACATTGAGTGTTCAAGTCCTCCATGCGTATTGATCATTTCCAATGTCCTTTTTGGATATTCTTCAGGTCGTGGAACAACAAAACAATGATCACCATGTTTTCCGGGAGATGGAAACTTGGACAACCAAATACATTTCCTGTCTTTGATCGTGCAATCATGAAAAATTGCTGAACCTGAACTCCTTGTGGGTATATCTGATTGGGACTAAAACTGAGCACTATTAGATGCATAAATAAAATCATTTATCACATTTCATGATCAATTTTTTTCTGAATTTTTTGTTTGGTGGTGGTGGTGGTTTTTTTTGTATTTTTTTTTTGGGGGGGGGGGGGAGTGCATGTGTGTATGTGAGAGAGAGAGAGAGAGAGAGAGAGATACCAGACAAGAGGAACTCTCCACACTATATTGTACGGCACAAGGAATATGCCCCAATAATGAATCCTGAAGCTCAGAAAAGATCTCTCTTACGTGGGTCACCAGTTTCAAGTCCTCTCCAATCTGCTCCTCCCAAATGAAGAAAAAACAAAAAATGCAATACTGGAATAAATAATTACTGGGTAGCGACTCAAAAAAGTAAATGTGTGATAAACATTTCACCAGTGGTCACTTGACACACGAGCATAGATAGCGAATGGTGTACCCTAGATGCAAGTCATTGATAGGTAGTCTGTAACTAGAGATCTCCAAATTATCAGAAAATATCATGTATGAGTAGATTAAAAAGTAGGAAGAGTACTAATGATCAACAACATACTTGGAAAATTTTAAAAAATAAAAACACTGGGGCAGCAGTATATAACAGATATATGGGTCATAAATGTGCTCAAAGCAGGCATACGGAACATAGAATGAACTGAGCATCGAGAGATTGAATAATAGCAGCTAGCATCAAATTCCAAGGGATGACCAAGGCCAAGTCAAATAAAGTATAATAGATCTAAAAGTTAGGTAATATTTCTAATGATCTCCCATTGGAAGTTATGAGTCCCTTTCCCTCAAAGCTTCTCATGGTCTCACCTATGTCATGGTAATTCCATCTTCTGACCTATGGAAATCATCAAATGCATGTGAGGGCTGGGGATCCCGAGAAAGCCAGAAAGGAGATTCACCCTTGTATCAGGTGTAGTCATAAGATTAGAATATGATTAAATTTCATCCTAATTCAAATATTGAGTTATGAAATTTAATAAAATCAGGATTTTTTTTAGAGGTTTACTGGCTGATTATTGAAAATTGGAATATCATTGATTTTCTCCCTAACTCCCTCGGGTCTCTCTATTTCTCTCTCTCCCACAAGTTTTTCTCTTATTCTCCCTCTTCTGTCCTCTCTTTCCCTTTCTTCTTCACTGACTCTCTTCTCTTTCTCTATTCTTATTCTCTTTCAAAGAATCTGAGGTTGGCCCATTATCAGTATGCATCTCCCTAACACTTTTAAGCACAATTTCATTCAACTTGGTGACAATATCACATCTCAAATTTTCAATGATTGAAAAATCAGTTACTCAAATCCCTAAATTTGAATATTGAAGGTATTATTTATTTCGAATTTGCAATTTTCCTGCACAACTTAATAGAAAGTAAGCAGATATTCATTAAAATCTTTGCTTTGCTGAAAACATTACAAAGGACAAGAGAGTCAAAGGCATTTCTGTAATACAATAATTTGTATAGGCGGCTTCTTTCTTTTTTTGGTTTTCAAAAATGACATGGCACAAACACTTTGAAAACCATTGTAGAAAGCATTATAATTACAAATACAAAACAAGTCACCCAATCTGTTAACCACTATATACAAACAGATATGAAACTACATAAGCTAAGATAGAAATTTACCTCTTAGTCTTACAATATACAAGAAGAAAACGTTGAAATTCTCATGTTATCTAAAACAAATCAATAACATTAAATTTGAACAAAAATCACACAGAACTAAAGCAAAAGGAGTACACATCATCATACCTTATTTAAAGAGCCAAGCTGTACTACTCCATGTGGACCAACAGCCACAACAGCAATGGTCTGCATAACCCCCAAAACAAAAATCAATAAAAAAATCGTTTGTGAAATCAGAAGAGATTCTAAGAATATAAATATTATGTAGTAGGAAGTACTCCATGATGGCGCAAACTGAATTCGCAAGATAAATGTAGAACTTAAACCTACCTCCAATTTTCTAGGAAAGAAACCAACGATGCAAAAGACATCTTTGCCATAAATTTATGTCTTAGAATTAAGTCAGTTATGGAGAGGAACAAACATATTCAAAGCTGAAGCATATATTTGCATATAAATATTGGTAACAGTGAACTCTCACAACCTTGGGCATGGGATTTTGTAACCCGAACAAAGCAATTTCAAGCAATTCTGCTTACCTGAACAATGTTTTATCAACCATAAACTTCATCTAGATATTATCGAACCATCCAGCAGACAGAAATTAGTTGCTGTTGGTATAAATATGTATTTAGAAGGCAGGCAGCTATCTGAAGGGTAAAAGTCATGTACACTTTGCAATATAACAAGGATGCCAGCAAAAAAAAATGGATGTTTTTCAAGCTGAATATAATAGATGAAATCCAGAAGCAACTCTAGCAGGCAAGAAGAAAGAAGAAAGAAGAAAAAACAACGAAAAATCAAGCACAAAGACATCACCAGTGAGTATGATTTGCTTTAATTCATAGAATTCATTCATCATTTTCCCATGCCACTGCCTATAGAACAAATTGGAATACGACAAACTCGATGGGACCATGATTGTTAACGTACAAACCAGTAAGATGCATGCTATGAGTAACTGAGTAGTATGCTAAAAATTACAGCAACAAGCCTCGGAGTTTTGAGTCACCAAGCTAGTTATTTTCTAGGTAGTGTAACAGTACTTGAAATTATGCAAGCCATACACAAAGTTCACATCCAGCAAAAAGATTACCTTTACTGTAACCAAGTGAGAGATAGGAACAATAGCGATCCAGAAATTAAACAATGATAAAGTATACTGCAGATGCAGAGGCCACAATCGTTTCTAAATCAAGGTAGCCCCTAACTTATATATTTGTGGGTGTATATAGGCATTGCAGCAATCATAACAATAGGAAATGCAAAATTTATACATGACGAAAGCAAGCATACCCTAATCCCAGCAGAGAACTGACTTTGCCATCCATCACAGTGCTGGAAACCAACAAAATCAGAGAATAACAATGAATAGTAAGACAAGGTATAGATATATATTGAAGCATGCCAGAAACAATTACAATAGGTGGTCAACTCCGCATCCTAGGTCATCTAGGTCTTGTATAGAATTAGTGCTTATGAAAGGAAAGTCTCACCTCAGAGGCCAAGGTGGAATCAGTTGCATGTTTATCTGCTAAAATCCATAGATGCTTACCGGTAACTGCCACCTGTCCAACAATCCTGCCAACAAAAATGCCATCCATATTCACTTCATTGTTTATTTTTGAAATTAGGACATATAGGACAAAAAAGATTGCTCGCACAAGCATTAGCTATACAGTGAAAACTTTCAGAAGTTCCATGTTTGCATAGCTAAGGCCAACTTGCATAAAGTGAAAACAGAACCAGAAGACAAGTAATGAGATAACGTTTTAAGAATACTCCAGGATCTACAAGATATTTCACTGGACATATATCACAGCATTCATACCCTTCTCCGAGAGAATATACATGATATGTCATCATTGCCACAGCTAACCCAAGAGGGTCATGAGAATAATGCCCATCGTGAAAGTTGCCCACCATCTCACTGAACCACTTGTTCTCGGAAGGATCATGTTGCCCATGGTTGTCATAGTAAGCATCCTCCCAAGTCAACATCCTACAAGAAGTTCCACATCTTAGATGACAATGAAGTGAGCATGCATTGTGCTTATATCTTAAAAAGGATTAAAGACCAATCCACAAAGCTACTCGTAGCCATATAATATAAGAGCACCACACGTAGATACCTAAAGTAAAGCAGATTTTTATGAATTCAAGTCTCCTTCTCCAACAACTAACACTTGTCACATCTAAAGAAATCACAAGAGATGGCAAAACACTCATATTTTTTGCATCCCTTTTATCGCAAAGTCATAGTTATAGATCATAAGATAGCACAATGATTGCCAAACTCTTTCAGATTTTATTCAACCGTTGTAAACCAACTAAAAAAAAGAAGTAAAGAAAAAAAGGATAGAACCAAGGGGTTTGAAATATAAATAAGACACAGGAGAGAAATCCCAATAAGAGAAGGCATAATTTTAAGAGAAGACACAAAAACCCAGTCAGATAAATAAAAACCTACTGTTTGTTGAACATATTTCCCATCACTTTGAAATTTTGCAGTTCAAATTAGGAATACCCAAATTTTAAAAGATCCAATTTAAAGACGCATCTGGCTACGGCAAACCTTATCAATACAAATTTTTAAGAAATAAGATTGCTATATGATATTGGAATCAATCTCCTACTCTAGACCTACATGACATGAATTTGTCAGTGTATGAATTAAGATACTCAAACAAACTAAGCAAATGTAGACCTAATACATGAAAACGACAGAGGAATTAAAACAAGAACAAAGAGAATTACCAACAAGAGGAGCAGTAGAACTTACATTCGGGCCCGGTGTTTAAGCTTCCAAAAGATGGAATACTTCCACTCGGTGTTGGAACACAGACTCCTGAGTGCTTGATGCAGTGGACTACCCATCTCTTCCCCCAGTTCGAAAAAAATAAATCCTAACCCCCCCTACTAAAATCTCACCACCGGGTTAACCAGTTAGACCCCTCAGAACCAAAAACCCTAATTTTTTCCCAAATTACAAACCCTAACTGCCTCTGTAAGAACCTCTTCCAGCCTGCTTCCTTCTCAACCCCGCTCGTCGCTTTATTGGTGGTCCTACCGTCGGAAGCAGCAAACTGTCCATCACCATCCTGATCCGCACAACCAACGCCCTAATCCCAAAATCAATCTACAATCTTGAAATCACTCACCAAGAAAAGAGAAGTCTCAACCCAATTAAAGCAAGCACAATAATCTTTTCATACACGAACTTGCTCAAGAATTTCTCCATAGTCGTCAATAATTGTGATTTTTTCTTCAACTTCAAGAATTTTCAAAAGAAGAAAAAAACCCTTTTAAGAGAAGTCTGAAAAACCCAGGACCCAATAATGAAAAATTTAGCTTATATCGGACGACATTGATGGCTCGAATCACTCATATGCTAATTTGGATGAATTCAGGCACTGAATAATTTCTGGAGATCAAGATTCAACAATTAAAAACCAAGTTCACCCAATTCGAGAATGGAAAATACAAAGAAACTAGACTATTTTCACTCTCTTCTTGTTAAAAGTAAAGTTTATGGAGAGAGAAGCTTCTTGGCAGCTCAGACTTGCAGTCATCGAAATCACCAAGAAACTCGCACCTCTCAACTGCATTGGACGCCATAGCTTCAAGATAGTTTAAAGATTTGCAAAGACAGCTCGAGTCTTGGGGAGAGAGAGAGAGCACCAAAATTCGCCGTTAATTCTTGGAAGGCTATTTGATTCTGAACATTGGCACTAAGCTTTATACTCTACTCAGGATGCGCAGTGTGCACCCCTTTTTTCCAATCCACTCGCGCCGCCATCATGTGCAGTTTTGCGTTGTTGTCCTTCTACTTTCTTAAATTACAAAATCAGCCGGTCACTATTGATAATTTGTCACTTAACCACTTTTTTTAATGACCCTTACGCCCCTAATTATACCCAAGAATAACAATCACAACCCTCAGCAGTACGGACAAGGCCTTAGGCCGAGAAGGATGAGAGTTGGAAAAGAGACTTGATTTCTGTTTATATTTATGGTTTCTAAGACTATGAAGCTAATGAGTGGGGTTTGGAGGTAGTCTATATTTATGGCAAACAACATGATGTGGGGGAGAGGAAAATGCTTCTTATCTTCCCATCATCTCTCTACCATACCAATCTTCCTTTTTAAAGCAAATACTTACCACCCATCAAGGCCTTTTCCACAATGATTTTACTGGTAAAAGGAGTGACACCTACACCTCTTAACTGCTTGCCACTGTCCCCTTTTGTTGTTGTGGGTTCCAAGTAGGTATATAATTTTTCAGATTTTGTTCAATTCATATTCAAATCAAACTTTTAGGGGTTGTTTCAATTATTTTTAAGATAAAGATGGGATTGAATTGGGTTCAATTTATGAATTTCTTTTAAATTGAATTTTTAAGATTTATTTATGAAGTTGAACAATGTACTATATCTAATTCTATATTTGATAAATGATACAAACACGGGTTTTATTTTTTAAAGTTCACATTCAAATAAGTTTAAATCAAAAATCCAATTAAGTGTGTGTGGCCTAATTCGAATAACACTATTTATGATAAATTATAACAAATTACTTATAGATTTCAACTCAATTTCAACGTATGTTTAAAATTTAAATTCGTGAGATATAAAATAAAATAGACTCATATTTGAATCAATAAAAAATTCAGAATGTATATTCCCCGATTTTTTGGATTTGGATCGGATTCTCAATCCATTCATTGACTTAATTAATTACAAGTGTAACTTTCATTGGCATAGCTGGTCGGCCGACGGCCATCGAGTGGCATTCGAGAGTGATGATTGATAACGGCCACCTGACCAACCATGTTGCTCCGGTCCACATTTGATCCCTATCCCTTCTCAATTGCATTTTTTTGACTGTTTTCATAGGATTAATATTATTTAGACAAAAAAGTTTAATTTAATTGGTTGATCTAACCATATAATTTTATCATAATCGTTTAATTAACATCAAATTTCAATGTTTGATAGAATTCACAGTCAATCAAAAGAGTAAAATGAATTATATCATTAAATTATGTCAATAAATTAAATTCAAATAACATTGTTCATTTTCTTTTTTAGATGAAGGGGTAAATTCCTAACCTGTCCTCGACAAGATAGAAACAATTTAATCGATTAACTTCGTAAATTCGAATAAAATTGAGGATAAATTTCAGATGCATAAACCGATTTCTCAACTCATACACTTGACGGGCTCGACCCAGACTAGGCCCAGTCCAAATTACAGACTAGACCCAACTCAAAGGTCCAGTGCATAAATATAAACCAAACCAAAAATCACAAACCAGACTCAAACATATGAGTCAGCTTACCACAAGATGAAAGGAGTTAGGACTTATCTCAAACATATGAGTCAAGCTCACCACAGGATGAAAGGAGTTAGGTCAAGTCAGTCACTCTAACTTGAGAAAATTAGGTTAGTCGCACCATCATGAAAGACTGAATCCACAACTGACATGCGAAGAGATGGGACGTGCACGTCATCACTTTCATAGAATTGTCTCGTCTGTTACTAGAAGAACGTCATCTCCATCGAATTATTTCACCTGATTCGAGAAAGGCATCTCAATCTATTAGAAAACACATGTAAATTGTAAGTCTCACCTATATTAAGGGGCATCTCTCACATATCACTCACATTTGAGCACTCTACTCTTCTTGAATAATAAAACACTCAGATCACCATAACTCTTTATAGTAGAATATCAACATTAATTAAATCAAGACTCGCACCTCAATAAAAATTTGAACTCACGCCAAAAATTTAGATAGGTTCATCTACATTGTTGATTTTCATCCATCTCATACCATGTTCATTAGCTTATTCTTCTTGCACCACACCAACTAAACACAATCTTTGGAATCCCATGATTTTGGTTTGACAGTGCAATCTGCAGTGATTATTACCATCGATTTCTGATAATTTTATCATTTTATTAACATGTCTTTTTGTTTTTACCCGAGGAATTTAGAATTGTGAGGCCAAATTTACCGGCCATGAAGAATTAAAAATAAATAATAAAAAAGTGAAAAAAAGGAGAAAATGAAATGATAACTTGTTAAATCATCAATTATTATCACTAAATGATGTTGCTTTAAACCAATAGATTCAATTTGTCGGAATATAATAAAAATGTTTAACTTGGGCTATTGGGATTTTGCTGGAATGCCTTGTTTAATTTATCTTGTATTTTCTTTTTTGTTTTGATTTTTAAAAACATAGGCTGAAAAAAAAAATTATCATAGGGTCCCTTTAACCATGATGGTCCACAAAAAATTAAAAAAAGAGATCTCTGGTTCCTTTTATAAGATTTTGTAGGTCAAAACTATTTTTTTTTTTTTTCTGGCAACTATCTCGATCATACTTTTTTACACTCGTTAAAACATGAAGTTGAGAGGCATACAAACACCCCACAAATTATGTGTTAAAGTCAACTAAAACGTCTTTTGGGAAGTTGCTCTTTTATCTGTTGTTTAACAGTCCAAAACGAGGGCACCGATCCATTCCTTATTTCCGTTTTCTTATAAAGAATGGATTTTTTCCCTTGGTCTCGTTTTTATCGATCTCACAAGTCTCTCTGGTATAGGCAAGGGCTTATATGTGAATGAATTCATTGACTTTCTTCTTCTATTCTCTCTAATAATTAAATCCTTGTGATCCGAGCTATCTTTACGAGGGTCATAGTTCAAAACATTAATTCAAGTAGATGGTTATTTTATCCGAGGATTCCTTCATTTTAAAGTTCATCAATAGTCATTAACTGAAGAAAAAATTACATCAAAAATTCAGTCCAAATGATTTGGCAAATGACATGGCAAATCATTATTCAAAAATGCTTGTTTTATTGATAATTTTAATGTATAGGAGAGACGGCACCTGCTTTTTTAGTGCCTTTTTTTGGTAAGATATTCGTTCTTTATAAAATTTCCACAGTTTCTTTCAAGGGAAAAGCCATCATTATTTTAATATCATATTTTTCTTTTATTTTATTTTATTTTTTGTCAGTCTAATATTATTCTTTGGTGAAGTCAAGTTGGCAAGGATGAAGAAATAAGCAGAGTTAGTGAGGGAAATGATAAGTCATTTTCATACACACAAAAAATAATAATAATAATAATAATAATAATAATAATAATAATAATAATAGTAATAATAGAGTGATACTAAGTGGGATAATGAATGCAATGAGACAAAGAAGAATGATATCTCTTCCTTTCCTTCTCCAAAATTTTCTATCTTAAAATGAAACACATTCAATTGCTTATTGAGTAAAATCATTATATGGTCTCATTCTCTCTCTCTCTCTCTCTCTCTCTCTCTCTCATATGAGGTAAGTATTATGTAAGGCTGCAAAACAAACGTAATAAACAAAGGTTTGGTGCGCCAATTTTATACAGTTTCGGCTTGCGCTTGGATTCCCACCCCACCTTTTATCATTCCTATCATCTCCCTCTCCCTCTGCATTCCTCTCCCTCTCCTTCTCTCTCTCTCTCCACACACACACACACACACATATATATATATAAAGATATGTATATATTGGTGGGATTTGGGAACCAAAATCATCCTAAGTAGATTTTGTAGCATAGCTTTATAGCAACAGGTAATCCATGAGAATGACTATTTAGTCTCCACAGTCATGAGTAGTGATTTGATCTCTGTAAGTCAATATGGACGGGCGTGAAAGTGGGAATTAACCTTTTTGAAATATGGTGTACATATTGCTTTTTCAGGATTCATTATATATATATATATATATATATATATATATATATATATATATATATATATGCATGACTAAATCTAGAATTATTTTGAAATATACTCAATTTAACTAAGCATTTTCTATTTGATGAGTTAGGTCATTTGCACTTTAAGCATTCATTTTATGCATTGGAGGTAGTATTTTTATGAAGGAGAATGCAAATTATTTTGCTTTTTCTTCTCGTGTGAAAGTGGATTATTTGAAATTCTAACATAAGGCAAGTGTCGGGGGCAAAGGGTTTGAGGGTGGAGTGAGGACTATCTCATGTTGCCCAAGTTGTTGAGATCAAAATCTACTCTACTTATTAGATTTGTTTCATCTTGTCGATACTTTATTATCTATTATAGATTTAAGTGGGATTTACTGTATGCAAATAAATTTTTAAGAGAATATATAATATTGTTAATGTTAAGAAACCCTAATATTGAATTAGATTTTAATACGTTTTATCAAATTAATAAAATGAATAAAAGCTAGAACGTGGATCATATTCTTTCAATTGGGTATTGCTAGATTGACAAAATAAGAACTTAAAAAATAAGGACGAAATGATGTGTCGTTAGCATGGTTGATAAAATCTAAATTTTATGTTAATAAAAAGGTATTAAATATTACACCATCTCATATCATTTTATATTTATTTTTTGTGTCATGTAGTCGATCTAATATTGCCTCTTGGGTTTTTTGAAAGGTTGTCAACTTACCCAACTCAACGGCAAGGCAACACCAATCATAGAGGCACCCCTTCCACCAGCCAAAAAAAAAAAAAATAGGGCACCCTTCAACGGTAGGGTATCCAATGATGAAAACCAACTTAAATGAATTTGTTATTAAATAAATAGATTTTCATATTATCTTAATCGGAAACTCATGATTAGTTTGATTGAATTGAACTTCACAAGCAATGTTTCGTAGTAAATAATCACTTAAAAAAGAGAAAATGGAACAACGGAATATAATGATGTATAAAAGTAAATTCATATACAATCAACAGTTGAGTGTATAATTCAAAAAAATTAATAAAACAATGAATAAGACAATTAATAACAGAAGACAAAGATTGAATCAACACAGGTAACACACAAATATATAATAATTCGGTTATAGTGATCTACTCTATTTTGAAGGCGATAATAATAACCAAAAAACTTTATTATTTTATTAATAAAGTTAAAAGTGGGAGAGATCTAGATAGCCAAGAGAGATATTGTTGTGTAAAGGGTGTATAGGAGATGCCCCTCTCAGGCAGAGAGGACTTATAATTTATAAGCATAAGGCCTTGGTTGAAGCGGTAGCGTGATGGATAGGTATCTAGTCCTTCAAGTAGGATAAATACAACTATGATAGGTATAAATAGAGATAGTCTTGAATTTCAAAAGTGGTTGTCCCGATAATTATTCTCAACGTGCGTTAATATTCTTGGATCTTTTGAATTTTTATCTGAGACAAATTTATGAACTGGACTTGACCTGCCTTGTAACTAATTCGAGCTTACTTAATTGATTGGGCCTGACCCAATTGGATCCGGGCTCATCTTAAGGTCTTGATGATCAATTTTAATTTTAGCTCAGCAATGAAATTCATCTAGAAGGATAGTTCGAATTATGAACTTTTATTTTTCACTTCATTAGAAAGATTGTTAAATTTCTGAACAAGTTTAGAGACGACTAGCTCTAAAATTTTAAAGAATTTATAATTATTAATACTATAGTAAAAAAAAAAAAAACCTTAGGGAGACATTGATGGATTGACCCCAACACAAACACGACATAAACCCACATGACACAAAATTGAAAATGACAATACTGATAGAAACTAATTATAAATGAGTTAAATTTAGGTTAGATACGAAAAAAAACTCGATTAATTGAAATTACAAGTAGAAAATAATTACAAAAAATAAATATTTTGTATTGATGTGAATATTGACATGATTATACAAAATAGGACGATACGGCATGAATTGACCCCTAAGAATGATAGACGGTTTTCTATTGACAACTAATTTCGGTGAGATTTCGTGCTTAATTAAATTCATGTGGCAAAGATAAGGTGATCCTAATGCCATGTTTCATTCATTGAACCGTCCAAAGTTGGACTACATTCCACTAAAGCTTCTCGTTTTTTTATTCTTGCCAATTATCTCTACAAGGGTACCTGGCATGTGGTGTTTTGTTATTGAGTTATAAATATATTTTGAGTAGTAATTTTAATTTTAAAGAACATTTTTTTTTTAAATCGATAACATTTTTGATAAAATTCTTGCACCAAATGATGTGAGTTGTTAGATTTATGGGACCCACTAAAACTTATTACAAATCTAATAAATGTGTAAATTTGGTATTCTTAGCATTACTTCTCTAAAATAGAGATTGGAGTGGGAATAAAGAATCCTATTAGGAAATGCTTATTATGATATATCAATGATAACATTACATCATTATGATACAAAATATTTTCTCCTAGAGTTGAGCATGAGAGGATTTTTCATAATAAAAATAGCATTACATTATACTTTTATTACATGTTTTACAACTTTTGAGTAATTCATGTATAACGAAGAGCAAAACACTTACGAAGATGAAAAGGGAAGTCCGAGAAAAGATACAATAAAACTTTAAATAAGAGAACCTAATAAATCAAGCTTTGGATTTGTCAAAGTTTAACCCTTGACCTCTCAATTGATATATCTTACAAAAAATTAAAACTACTCGCTTGATTTTTTTTGAGATTTTAGAATAACGCATAATTGAGATTTTATAATTTTTACGGACTAAATTGACTCAAAATATGACACCACCAAAAGTCATGGGCTTCAAATATAAATATTATAGTGGCCAACATGGCCAATACCTCGATGGTGAGGCGGGATGTTACAAGTGGTATCAAAGCGAGATCTCTTGTGTGACCTCTAAGGGGGTGGACTATGGTAACCGACACGGCCAATAGATCATGCTAAGTGTGGTGAAGTGAGGTGCTACAAGTGCCATGTGCACTATCCCACATCAATTGGAGAGAAAAAGTTCATGGACTATTTTTTGTGGTTTCCTTCCCTAACTATTATAAGGGGTCTTTTTAGGTGAAAGCATAAAAAAATAAAAACTGTGAGGAATAACTCAAAGTGAACAACATCTTAACGGCGGTGTGGCGGGACGTTAAAAATATAGTCTAGCAACTTGGAAAAAACTAATCAAGTCCTTTTACAAACTCAAGCATACTTGAAAAATTACATGCATTAACAATTACTCCATAATAAACATAGATTTCATTCTTTAAAAAAATCAAAATTATACTTAACACAAAGATAACTCTATCAATAATACCTACCAAGAATTTTTTACAATGTCATAGTTTGTGATGTAAAACAATTAGCAAGATTAAAGAAACAAACATATTATGAATATATTATTTTAAATTTGAATAGTGATCTATCGATATATATATATGGAAGAAAAAAAATAATGATATTTGCAACACCTTATCTATACTACTTGACGTGACATAATCTCAACTTCTAAATATTTTACGAGAACGTGATAATGGTAAATTGTGAGAAGGATTCCCTCTAACATATTATAAACAAACAAATTCAAGCATGATTGAAAAATTAATTACATTTACGTACCCATATTAAAGTTGGATATATGATATTCCCCAAATAGAATAAGAAACCACAAACACATTTAACACAAAGATAACGCCATCAACAATACCTACCAAGAATTTTAAGATAAAATAGTTTACAATGGAAATAATTAAAGGAAAACAAAATTAATTGACAACTACATTGATCCGTAATGGACATTTAAATCTACTAACGATCGATTTTACCAAAATTGTAGTCGAAGTTGTGATTCAAACAGACTACAATAGTAACGATTTAGTGTCAATTATCTTCTTGGGCCCTTAGGTGGACAGAACATCGAGTGAACCCTCCCACCGTGTACCTTCCGTTGCATTGGGCCCAAACCCAACCTTTATGCTGCCACAAAAAATATTGGCAAGTACACAGGTGGCGTAGGCCATGCAATGAACCTCATTCTAGCCTGTAACTTGACATCAAAATCAACCTCTCCCTCCGCCATGTCCCGAGCAATGGCGGTGGCTACCGTACTGTTTAACTTCTCCGACAAGGTGTCGACGTTCCCAACGTACGATGTATGGTTCTTGGAAGCTTGTCGAAAGGGTGCAAAGATTGCCCCGCCTAGAGAGTCATTCTTGTAGAAAACCGAAGCGTCGATGCTGTCGTAAGAGATTCCGCGAATCCTGTTTGGGTTTTCCACGTAAAAACTAAAGCTCCACTTTGCAATGAGTTACGAGTTAGAGACGTTCAACGGAGAAACCGAGATGGAGTCGACTCGGAACCTAGGAGTTTTAACGTCAGCCGCAATCGCGCAAGCTGTCTCCCAGGCCAAATAGGTGACGTGGCGAGTACGAGGAATGTAACAAAAAATATGGCATTGTAATCTCGGGGTGGAGTGTAAGAAGGCGGGGCTTGCAATACACGAGGGTATCCGGCGACTGTTGTGGTGGCGGCAGTAGCAGTGGTGGCTGTAGGTGTGGTGGTGTTGGTGGTGGTTTCTTCCAAGGTGTAGCCATATGAATCAATCCTAGGATACCATTCAGGTAACCCTATTTCTGTTTTCTGTGGTTGAAGTACTCATTTTAAAACGTAAGAAAGATCAAAAGCAGAAGAAAGAATTCTCAAGGGTTTGTTTCTTGAATCTTGAGAGGAAAGAAGAGGAATCAAGAATGTGTAGAGGATGACGTTTATGAAGAAAGAGAAACTAGTTGTTGAATTTATATCTTAGTTTTAATATGTTTTGGAGTTCTGTCATTAAACAAATTCTCGTTGCATTAGGATTGCCTAAGAATTTTGAACTCCAACCTATTGTTTTGTCTTTGTTTGGCGGCAGAGTACGGGTCTAAAACGATTAGATAATTCTTATTTTTTTTTAAGTCGGTAAACGATTGGATAATTCCAAAAAGAAAATAACAACGGCTGGCTAATTACTCAACTAATTCACCATAACTATTGGTACGATTATATTAAACATTAAAATTTGGTATTAATCTAATAATTATAATAAAATTATATCATTAAATCTATAAATTAGATCAGATTTTTTAGGTCTTAATGACATTACTCTTTTATTCTTACCGGGTAACCACGGTCTCAATTTCTTGCTATCTAATTTGTTGATCTAATAATTCACAATCATTGAATTGACAATGAACCTCAATATTTGTTGAGATTCATAACTAATTTAATAATTATGATGGATTAAACTGAATTTAAATAATAAAAATTAATTTTAAACAAGTAAATTAGTGCATATAAAATTGATTCGAGTTGATTACACCACGTAACATAGTTGTTACGGATAGATATATTGGGTGATTGACCCGAATATCATAAAAGTTTCATGGAAGAGAAATATGTGGGAATAACTTTTTCTTATAGATATTAGCGGGAACGAATTTAGAAATTTATACAAGGGTGTTGACACTAATTACAAATTTTAACTTTTGATTTTGTAACGGTTTAAATAAATTATATATACAAATTTTTTAAATCATATATAACACCTAAAAAAATTTTAACACCTCTTTTTGAAGGTGGTAATAACTCTAACTCATATTTTCTTTTAAAGTATTTTTTCATAATTATTTTAAATAATTAATAAAAATAATTAATAAGAAGTAATTGTAACAGGAAGCAAATACAAATACAAATACAAATACAAATATAATTTTTATTTTAATTTAATATGTTAGCATATTAAAGGAAAAACTATAGTAAAAAACAAATACAAGTACACAATGGATCAAAATATTCAACGTCAATTTACAATTCCTAATCGTAACCAATTTTTAATCAGATCGTAATTTTAAAAAATTTAAGAAATGTCAAAAAACACAACATAATTTCAAAAAATTATAGATCGTTTTGGATTGAGAGTTACACAAAAAAAAAAAAAATCAACAACATATACATTTACCACATATAATCCCAAGAACAATCGCAGCCTAAAAATTTTGTAAAAAAATAAAGAAAATTTCTCGATATTGTATTGAGATTAATTACAAATTAATAAAGTAAACAGAATTATTAATCAACGAAGTCTAAAAATTTACAATCGATATCGAAAAAAACTAGATAGAGATCGATGTAATGTTTGATAAACTGATGATGATATATCACGAGTAGTCGTGATCATGATACGGCCTCTTGTAGACTGCACATTGCGTTGGACCGTCCACCATTGAACCCCCCTCCGATAAATTAGCCGGCAACACCACTTTGACACCGCCACAGAGAACATCGACGAAGAACGTTTTTAGAGTTGAAGACGAAACAATCAACCTCATTACACCATGCAACTGCACATCAAAACCAATCTCACCACGCCCTATGTCCAGAGCAATAGCGTTCGCAGCCGAACCGTTTAACTTCTCTGATAAGACGTTGATTTTCCCGTTTAATGAGGTCTGGTTTTTGCTATATTGAAGAAAGGGTGGAAAAACTGTTCCAGAGAAAGATTCAGTCTGATTCTGATAATTAACCGAAACCTGGAGGTTTTCATAGGCAAGACTGCTGACCCGGTTAGGGTTTTCTAGGTAAAAAAGAATCAACCACTTTGCGTTGAGTTGGGAGTTGGAGACGTTGAACGGAGAAACAGAGACCGAGTCAACTCGTAACTTGGGACTGTGATCGTCGTACCTGCCCCTTACAATTGACATGGCAGCGATACAGCCAACGAAAATGAAGATTGCAAAGAATATGCATATGACGCAGCATGACTCTGCGCTGGAAACTTGATTTCCTTGGGGTGGCTCGTGGTCAAGTTCATTGGCGGCGGTAGTGGTATAAGTATTGACATCATTAACTGGGACTTGAACATGACAAGGGTAACCAATGACGGTATTTTCAGGGGTAGCGGTGGTGGTGGTGGTGACGGTTTGTTCCAAGGGGTAGCCATAGGTTGTTGTTCCATAACTAGTAGTGTACACAGGCGACCCCTGGGATGTGTGTGTGTCTTGTGTAGTTGAAGAACTCATCTTAAACGTTGGAATTGTATTGAAAGCAGAAGAAAGAACTTTGATGGCTTCGTTTTTCAGAGGAATAAAAAATATGTAGTGGGCGGTAATGAAAGAAGCAAGAGACTTGGCTCATGAATTTAACTGTCTCAAAATCCTAGTTTTACCATGTTTCCAAGTCCCGATACAAATCAAATTGTATTTGCATTAATTGTTAACTAGGATTCTAGGAAGATCAATGTTAAAGGGACTTAATTCTATTTTTTTTTTTAATAAATATCCGTTAAATTCTATCATTTTTATCTTTTGTTTTGTTTTATATCAATGAAATTTTATTTTTAATATTTTATTTAATTAGGTTATAATTTTATTATAGTTTAATTTTTGTTCTTAATCTTTACCATAACTCTATCATCATTCTTCTTGTTGTGTATCAACTGTTATTTAATTCATCTTTTCTTATATGAGTTAATTTACTTATTTTGTTTTCTGTAAATAATGTTAAGTGTTTATTAAAACTACAACTACACTACAGACATACAGATGCTCAATTTTTATTTGGGTATTAGTATTTACTTCGATCGTAATTCTAAAATCAAGTACTACAATTTTTTTTTTCATGAAACCCTTGTTCATCGAGGACACTTGGGGTACAAAATCCTTTGTTACATCTCATAATGACAATTCTAAAAATTATTAGTAATTAGATTTTTCATAAAATTATCAAGTAGACAACACATAATTTAAAACACAAGAAATTTGAATATTATGAAAAGAAACGATTAATGTTATTATATCTTCAATATTTTAGATGTCAATATTTGTCAAGAAAATGATAGAATTGAAACAAAATATAGTATTTATGAAATTTAAATCTTTATTGAAATAAACTATAAGATTAGGACTTCATTGGTATAAAACAAAAATAATAGGACTTAGTGAATGTTTGTGAGAAAAAATAATACTTATTAGCAATTTTTTCTTAATAAAATTTAATTATTAAATTAATTATAAGTTTTAATATTAAATAAAATCCAATTATTATATTAAGTTAGGAAGAGAATTTTGGACTCTAATTCCAACTCTATCTGCACCTTATCTTTCTTTTTCTTTTTTCTGGTTTGGCTGAGTAGAGGCCTAGAACGATTGGATAATTCGGACAAAAAGAGAGTTTGAGATAGAAAAGAACAAGTGCTGTCATCAGTCTTTTTTAACCTTGCCCGTGCAGCCACCATCCTAATTGGAGAATAAATCGAGCTGTTTATGGTCGGCAAAGTATCAACAAAGTTATCTTTTTAAGTTTATTCATTAATGGAATAAATCAAGTTTGAGTTGAATTTTCAAGCTTATATAATAATCGAAGCGAGATCTAACAATTACTTGTTCGACTTGTCTAAACCCGTGAACATGTATATATTACCTATGAGTAATATTATAAAGACCTAATTTGAAGAAAAACTAATCAAAAAACTTCCTGTTTTATTAGGTAACAATTCAAAAGTCATGGAGTTTACAGATAAATGTAAGACAACATAATCCCAATTGAGCTGGTTTTGATCTTGACTCAAAATTAAACTTAAGTTTGAGTATGAACTAGTTTGCTTAATCAGACAAGCCGAATCTTAATTAAGTCCAAACATACTAGCTATGTTTGGTTCTTTTACAGCCTTAATTCCGGCCATTTATAACTGTATAGGACCCCTATGAACGGCAGCTACAACAGTCAAATTATCCATGACAAAGCAGTCCCATTGTAGATTCACCCACAACCAACTACATTTCTATGGACATTGGTGCTATAGCAGTATAAGCACCACCACTCCAGATAAATGCCTCCACCAGCAGCAGCATTGAATGAAACAAAATTACATTACAAAGGTACAAAGGAGACCCAAGTGTACAGGGATACCTCAGTAAATAAGTATGCGTCCCCCATGAAAATGAGACAGAATTTGGATAAGCACTCCCTCAAATTGCTTCCGCCAGTCTTATGTGGTATTGATTCGGGGCTGATAATCTTATTGATGCTGCAAAAGGACAATGCCAAAATGCCAAACAACTCAACAGTTGGCACTCTATTTCTCAAAATATGAACAATATAGCTATGAGCCTTGTCTGATTATAACAACCGGATGTACATCCAAGGTTTCTAATCATCATAAATTGAACCCAAATCATAATACAAAAGAAATACATGTGACTCACCATAATAGAAGATCCCCGCTGGACACTGACTTCTCATAAATCCATTCAGGAACTAGTGCTTGCACAATCTAAGCTGGTCTTCAATTTCTCCTGTAAATATAACCGCTAGGATTTAGCTCAAATGAGGCTTCTGCAATATCAAAAGGTTGACTATGTTCGTAATGATGAGAAAGAATCTTACTTCTGTCAACAATATCCAAATGGCTTGCAGTTATCTTGTGCATGAGCTCCTCTTTTGTGACTACGGAACGACTAATTGCCTGAAATACGAGATGAATGCTGTCAAAGAGTTTAGGTAAGTTGGTAATCATCTGTTACCTCCATTTTGCTTGAGAGATGGCTGGATCTTGATCCTCTAGCATCTTCCTCTCTTTCTCTCTTATCTGCAGAGAGGCACTGAGGTTAGATTTCTGCAACATATTATAAAGTGAGCCTCCTTCTGTCACAAAAGATTAAACAAATTCTTCAACACGAGCATCAAGGGAGTGTGTAGAATGATGTTACCAAAACCTGAATTAGAAAAACAAAGGCAGTTTTTGGGTATAAGTAAATAGTGTACCCAGGAAATAGTTCCAGAAAATTCTTTGCAGCAGCTTGTTTCAAAACAATATTACCAGATTCTTTCCAATACAAGCAAATAAATAGATGATACTCAAATTCTACAATCCTCCAAAACAGAGAAGATGGCAGTCATCTTTTAAAATTTTCTTTGTTGTCTTACCAGTCACTTACAGCCCATCATGTATGAAGTTATATCGTGTCATAATTAATCTCAATAGTAGTAGCATACATTTATGAAATGTGGCTCGTCTTGATCACCTGTACCTAATTTAATTTCAATTGAAATAAAAAAGGACTGCTAAAAATGTATCTAGATATCACATCACAGAACTCGAAAATATATCACATGCAATGTGTTCTAGACTGAGGCTTGCACTGAAAAGGATTAGAACATAATAGATTCATCATGGGCTTACCGATTCGAGAAGACTGTCAGGAAGAATGTCAAAAATGTCACTGTCTACCGATATACTTCGACTATCATTGACTTCATCCTCAAACTTGCACTCTTCACAGGAGTGTCAAATTTCAAAGACCTGTTACGAGGTGGACGCCTGGCTAATATGTTTGGTGACCTGGTTGAATCATCATCTGGGCTCATGCAACACCTCTTTGGTGGTTGCAATCCTGGTGTCACACTCATCAGCTTTGCTGGTGTTGAGATGAGTTTTGCAGGAGTTCCTTCGATGCTCACAGTTCCCATGGGCAAATAATCTTCAGTCATTGTGGAATCTATTTTTTTAACTGGAGTTGTGGCGGTATGAGATGGTGGTAGACAGGTAGCAGAAGCCCCAGGTTTTATCCATTCTTCATCTGCTATTTGCTTTGAAGAGGATTTAGGAAAGAATGGAGTAGCAGCCGCACTAATTTCCTTTCTAGAGGAACATTCATCAAAGTAAGGATCAGAAACTGGAAGGACTGAAGATCTGAGAGAAACTATTGATGGCATTTGAGTAGTGTTCACTGCTTCTTGGTTTAAGCCTTGCTGCGAGAAGTGCCATCGGAAAGATTGAGACAGATGGCCTGCTGCTGCTGCTGGTTGCTGTTCTAAAAGAGCATCACTTGAAATCTCACACGCCAAGGATGACTTGGTGGCTTTGATTTTGTTCTTATGTGTATCTTGCTTTAACTGATTGAATGGATGTGGCAGCGTTCCCCTAGGAACTTCATCCCCCTGAACACATAAGTTGCTTTGTCAATTATATTGGATAATCCAGTATGTAAGATGAAAGTAGAGCTAAGACACAGTTCTTTTCTTTTGGCGATACATTTTCAGATGTACAGAACAAAAGCTATGTCTGAACTGCAAAACCAGGGTTTTCTCAGGATCCAGGGCAAGGGTCCAGTTTGGGACAAAGTATATCAAGTTTGGTAATATTAGGAAGTCGCTGGGGTTTTTAAGGTCTGGCTTACTCCATCGTAAAATATGAATCCGGAGCAAAGAAAGTTGCTGGTCCTATGGAGGTCAGAACCTATAATGGATAAAGGATATATCAGTGTACTAGTAAAGTGCTTCTCAGCCACATGCAGACTAATGGATAGCACTAAAGATCAAAGCATTTCACAACAAGAATGTCCTCAGAAAATGGTAGGTGCATGCCTTCACAACAGTAGACTCAATGAAAATAACTTTCTACTCATGCAACTGAATCATCTACTGTTTTACTGTTCAGATGAAGCACGATCCAGACATGTAATAATCATAATTTTTATGCATTTGATTGGTTGTAATCCTTATATGAGCCTAAAATAACATCACCAACTGTTATTCCTAGAAGATATACAAGAATAATGTGAGACACCATATGTCAAGAAGTAAAGGAGGCTAAATATGGTATATATGCAAAGTTCATATAACAGGTATAGGAACATACAAACCTCAGGATGGGCTACAGAGAAATGCAAAAGCCGAGACCAAAAGACTTTTCTCAACCACGAGTTCACACTTTCTGATCTCAGCTTCCCATCATCCTCAAGCGCATTGGCATTCAGTGAAACATGAAGGTCAGGCTTCATACAACTGGTTTGCTCGTCATGGGTAAGAACTTTCTTTACCTCAATAGCCTCAGGCAAAATGAACTTCAGTTGAGCTAGATGATTATAAGTAAACCTCCTAAAAAATCAAATAAAAACAAGTCAATCCTCACCCCTAGCAAAAGTAACGTTAATAATAAAATTTAGAAACTTATATGAACAAAGATTACTACCTATCAGTTAAATACTCTATCTTGGGGCTAATATTTGTAATGATGTTGGCATAGATCCCTTTAACCGAAGCAGTCAGAATTGAACTATCCAAACTATTAAAGAACTTGTCCAACAAGTTGTACCTGGAGACAAATACATGAACATCGTCAGAAAAGATTGAACCCACCTAGGACATTCAACTAAATAATGTGCAAGATTTCTCAAATTTTTCTGACCTATTTCCTGAGACCTACAAGCAAAAACACAAGAGTAGTGCTATGTATCCCAAATTTGTAACCCAAATTTGCATCCCAAATCAAGGAGGATCATTGGATCGGTGGATCCCATTAATTTTTTAAATGGACCCACTGATCCAATGGTCCTTCTTAATTTGGGATGCAAATTTGAGATACATATTATTACTCAAAACACAATGTCACTTTAAATTGAGAGAAGATAATAGTCAAGAAACTTGTTGAAATTAAAAAAAGGCCCATATTATTTTTCAAGCAACCAGGCTCGGGTTAACCTAGCAACGGATAATCCAGAAATGCCAAAATGCACAAATTTGCATCTATGGAAAATCTTCCAGAAGCCATAACACAACAAAATCACTACAACATTTTTAACCGAACAAAAGAAATTCACTTGGTACTTCTCCTTTCTTTGAAAAAACAAGCTCCTCCCACATTTTTAGACTCTTCTTTTTCAGGATCTATTGAGACAGCAGCCTCATGAGTAACTAACCCGCATTCCAAAAAAAAATTTGAAAAAGACAAACCAGATTCACAGGATCTCAGTTTCCAAGATCTATAAGCACAACCACGTTCAGAAAATTCAACTAAAAATATTTAAAGAACCAAAAACACATCTTTCTTTTGAATTCTTTTTCTAGCCTTCCTAGCCTTCAACTTGTGGGTTTGTCCACTTACGATCTGATGCGAAAGAATCTGCTGTTATTTATTCTCATGAATGAAGTACTCCCAGCAGATTCATACTTTCCAGTTGGTATTCATAATATTAGGCCAGAATTTAGATTACAGATTCCTCAGTTCAATTGATAGTCTAGCATGACATTGCTCTTGTACCTCTGATTAGGGTTTTTTTCTTACTGCTTCCGTTTCTTAAATCTCCATTTCAAATCCATACACAACAGTTTATTTACCTAAAAAAAATTTCTCAAAAAGTATAGGCACTTACTTTTCTGGGAGATTTATTGAGCCATCAGCCATTTCCGATTTGGAAACCGCAGTTTCACTCTGCCACTACGAAATCTGCTGCTTTGCGATGCCGCTAATCGAGTCGGATCGAGAAGGTGAGTCCGAATCCGATATCAGGAACTTCTTCGCGGCCTGTCTGAGTTCTTTCACGGACAATGCAGCTGGGCGATGCTTCATCCTGCGCTGTGAGTTGATCGGCTTTTCGGATGTTTTGGAGATGCACAGACTTTGATCTGGAGCTTTGGTCATTTGTTTGATCGGATGGTGATGGTGTGGAGCTTGAACGGAGTGTCTTCTTGATATGAATGGATCGAACGACGACGATTGGGAGGACTCCATTTCTGTGCTTCTGTGCGTTTGTGTGTGCCACGAAGAGAGGTGGACAGGGCTTAGAGTGAGGGCTCTCCACCTATGGTATTTATAATATATTAAAATATTATATTTTTTATTTTAAAATATTATTTTTATAAAGTTATTTTAACCATAGTCTTTGTTTTGACTAATTATTATTAGTATTTAAATCAAAATATTACAAAACTTGATACATTATTAAAATGTAAAATAACTATTCCTTTAAAATAAAATAAAATAAATTATTTAACTCTCTATATATAACAATAGCTAACCAAGAAAGCTAGCACAATATAGAGAATTATTTAGGCTAAATATAAAATAGTTAGTTAAATAATTAATCCCTTTAAGTATAATTTTATAATTTAATTTTTTATTTTAACTAACAAATGTCAAATAGATAATCCTTGAACACACTAGAGAGGGGAGAGAGAGAAAGGCATGGCATTTGCATAGTGGGTTTTTTTGGCGGGAATGCTAGGTTGGATGCTGACGTGTCTAGTGACACATCAGCGTTCGCGCCAAAATTCCTTGCTGGCACTCACGACGTTAGTGATCACCTGTGAGGCGGGCCTAATTTTGGAGCAAATCTTGGGTGCAATCGTTACATCAAATATGATTATGTGGTATAATTATTTAATAAAAAAATGAATAAAATAAATTCCATTATCTTGTATAGAGTCGTTACATATTACATGAATAAATGGGTATTTAATTTTGTGGAATAATATTAGAAGAGTAATGTTATTAGATCTAATTTATTAATTTAATTTATTAACATAATTCATTATGATATTTTAATTGACTATAAATTTCATCAAATATTAGAACTTAATATTAATCCAAATTATTCTATTAAAATCAAACCATTATCTCAACAAATTAAATTAATTTTTAGGTGAGCTTTTAGTTCAAACAAGATTGGGTAAAGTTTCAAGGATAATTTAAAAATTGGTACAAAAATTTAGACTTATTTGAATTAAATTATATTAGAAAAACTTATTTGTCTCTAAGTACATTTTTTTATTATTATTCTATTACTCTTTCTTTCTTATTTTATCTCTATCTATTTTTATCACTCTCTTTTCTCTCACATTGATAATTTATTTTTTAAAATATATAAATATTTAATTTAATTTATTTAATCTCTCTCTCCTATTTTTTTTCTCTCTTTCACTCTCCCTTTACTTCCTTATTCTCTCTCTGCTTATATAAACATTATAACAACACAATTATATTAATCAGTTACACCAATTAGTTACAATTATTTTATATTACACCAAACAATTATTCGTGTGTTATAATAAAATAATAGTTACACTAAATAATTATACGAAATAACAATATCAACTCAATTTGTCATTCAGTTATTTACATAAATCAAAGAGTTACACTAATTATATACACAAAATTGAGTTTATCATTACACAAAAAACTTTACTATTATATTAAATTTAGTATATATAATTGGTATAACGACGTTTGTGATACTAAATGATGCAACTATTTAGGTTATGTAAATTACTAAATGACAAATTGGGTTGGTGTTATAATTTTATGTAATTGTTTGATGCAACTGTTTGGTTTATTAGATGTGTTAGTGTCATAATTTTGTGTAATTGATTGGTGTAACTGTTTGATTTGATTATAACACATGAGTAACTATTTAATGTATTATAAGAAAATTGTAATTGATCTGTGTAACTAAATAGTGTAATTATTTTGTTGCAATATTGATATAAATATATAGAGAGAGAGAAAAAAAAAATAGGGAAAGAGAGATACGATTAGAGAAATTAGGAGGAGAGAATATGGGAGATAGATCAAAAAATAAATAAAATATTTACATATTTGAAAAGAAAATAAATTATCAATGATAAATAAGAGAGATGGGGAAAGTGAAGGGGAAAGAGAGATGGAGAAAAAGTATAAGAGAAAAAGTGAGAGAATTTAATGAAATTTTTACATATTTGATTAAATATATAACTCTCAATCAAAAGTACATAATTTAAGGGAGGATATTTAGGTAAAAAAATTTTGATTTCATTTGAAATTTGTACCTTAAAAAATATGTATTATTAAAATTAAATTTAATCGAGTAAACAACTTATTCATACAATTTTCCTCAAATAAATTTAAAAAATTATACTCACACAAAAAAAACTCAAGTTTCAAACTAGGGTTGGGCACGGGGTTCGTTGTGATCCAGTCCGACTACTAAAAACCTGACATGAGGGCTAAGCTCGGCCGGATTGGTCCAATCTTTTGGGTCAGGTTATATGGTACAGGCCCAACTCTTGGCCCAGTCTCATAGCCCTTGGGCCTTGTTGTAACTAGTGAGACTTGTCGTCGTAAGAGTCACTTGGTGGTTGAACTCATCTTGGATTATAAAATACGGCCCTTGGCAATATCACATTCCCACTGAGAATGAATGCGAGAAGAGTTAGACCCCGTCGCACTGTTATTGCTCTTCAGGGTTTTCCAAGGGTTTAACTTTGAGAAACTACGAACTCAGTGGTCCGAATCACAGGTACCAAACCCCTCTCACAATCCACCATGAGAAGATCTTCCTCTAAACTTCTCTGTCATCTGCAACCACACACCAAATCCTCTTTCTCTCTCCTCTCCAATGACTTCATTACCCACCTTTCCTCCCTCTCGACCGTCACTAATGAAGCCAATTACGGCCACCCATCGCAGACCCGCCTCCAAAACTGCAATAAAATTAATGGGTTGCTCTTCTCCAATGTCAAAACTCACCAACCTCAGACCAACTCCTCTCAAAATTTCAACACCCTTGTGGACCAACGTCCTGAAATGTCTTCGAGACAGAGAAAGATTAAAGAAAGATCGCAACTCGAGGAGGCCTTTGAGTCTGCGAAGACCCCCGACGACATGCTTAAGGCGTTCAAAGACATGGAGGCTAATTTTGATGAGAAAGAGCTTGGCCTGGCTTGTCTGAAACTTGGCCTCAAACTTGACCAAGAAGGTGAGGAACCTGAAAAGATTCTATCTTTTGCTAACAGGGCCTTAAAAGTTTTGGACACTGATGATAAATTGTCTTTACCTCTTGCTATGACTTTGCAATTGTTGGGGTCTGCTTGTTACAGTTCGAAAAGGTTCAATGATAGTTTAGGGTATCTGACTAGGGCTAACAGGATATTGGGTAGGTTAGAGGAAGAGGGTTTTTGTAGTGTTGAAGATATTAGACCGGTTCTTCATGCCGTTCATCTTGAATTGGCGAATATCAAGACGGCACTGGGGAGGAGGGAGGAGGCTCTTGGAAATCTTAAGAGGTGTTTGGAGATTAAAGAAATGACTTTGGAGGAAAATAGTAGGGAACTTGGTAATGCTAACCGTGATTTGGCGGAGGCACATGTTACTATATTGAATTTTAAGGAGGCACTGCCTTATTGTTTGAAAGCCTTGGAGATACATAAGTCGCAATTGGGGCAAAACTCGGTTGAGGTTGCTCATGATAGGCGGATTCTTGGAGTGATTTATACTGGATTGGAGAAGCATGAGAAAGCATTGGAGCAGAATCAATTGTCTCAGAAGGTTTTAAAGAATTGGGGTCTTAGTTCTGATTTGCTTCGTGCAGAGGTCGATGCTGCCAACATACAGATTGCATTGGGGAAGTATGATGAGGCCATTAATACTTTGAAGGATGTTGTTCAGCAGACTGATAAAGATAGTGAGGATCGGGCTATGATCTTCACTTCTATGGCCAAAGCTTTATGCGAGCAGGAAAAGTTTGCAGACTCGAAGAGGTGTCTAGAGATTGCATGCGGAATTCTAGACAAGAAAGAAAAGTCCTCTCCTGTAGAAGTTGCTGAAGCGTATATGGAAATATCAATGCAATATGAAACGATGAATGAATTTGAAACAGCAATTTCATTGTTGAAAAGAACATTGGCCATGCTTGAGAAGCTCCCTCAAGAACAACACTCAGTGGGAAGTGTTTCTGCAAGAGTTGGTTGGTTACTTCTGTTAACAGGCAAGGTGGAACAGGCTATACCTTACTTGGAGGATGGTGCAGAAAGATTAAAAGAGAGCTTTGGTGCCAAGCATTATGGCGTGGGATACGTGTACAACAATTTAGGTGCAGCATATTTGGAAATAGATAGACCTCAGTCGGCCGCCCAGGTATTTGCATTTGCAAAGGAGATCATGGATGTCTCGCTCGGTCCCCATCATGTGGATTCAATTGAGGCATGCCAGAATCTGTCAAAAGCTTATGGTGCCATGGGAAGGTAACCCACAAATGCCCTGCCTCGTTTCTAGTCTCGATCTCATCATTTGAAATATTCTTGATAGTTAATCTGTTGCATGAATTGCATTGCATTGGATTGTGTCCCACTAATTATTTTTTATTGTGGAAGCTTTTTTAGCGAGTTCTTAGTGATCAATGCTCTCATTATTTCATATTCACTCGCTATACCTGTTGTTTGTTTCTTGCATTGGTTGATCGAGTCGAATTTATATTGTATATCTCAACGAATGGATATGTTTACCCCTGTGTTTAAATGCTCATATTACCCTTTGCAATGTGAAGGGAACACTGACAAGTAATTGATGATAATAAATCCCCTCCCAAAAAAACTCTAGTTCTGTATTTTTAAGGTAAGAATATTGCAAAAGCTCCTGTTGTCTTGTGTTGAGAAAGTAGTAGTAATGTTTTGTCTAAGAAATGCTAGATAATCTGTCTTTTTTTTCCCTGTAGAATGTGATTATCCAACATCTAGTCTGGCCAAGCGAGTGTTGTTTTTTTTTTTTTTGAACCAGAGCAAGTGTTGTTCATATGACGATTACTTTAGACCATTGGTGGGTGTGTGGGTATATACTCTAAATTATCATATTTTCACATTCTGATAGCTGTCTCTAGACAAACGAGGATTTCATTAAAGTGCCAAAAGAAAGGGTCACAACCTAATTACATCGAAGTATACAGACAAGGCGGGTTTGAATGCATGTAAACAGACAATGTCTTACAGAAGTAGCATAGAGACCTTGATACACCTCTACTCCCCCAAAAGAAAGAGTGTTTAGTTTAAGAATAAACTTTTTAATCCTCAAAATGGTGGTACACCTCAAAAACTTTAGCTTTCTTCTCTTGAAATAGGCAGCAACTCAACCACGAAGGTTGGTTCCTCAATCTTGTCCCCCTTCTCCTCTGCCCATGGAAACACCAGCTAACTGTTCTCTAACCGATGTCAGACTCACCCAAGCGACACCAAATAGAATCCAAACATGTTCCATAACTTTCCTTTGGGCCATGAATTTGGGACGAAGATAGTCAAACTTGGGCCATTTGGCAATCTCATCATAGCCATACTACATGAAATCTACAGATGACTAATGCTTTGCCCTGTTTCTTTACTCAAATCACCGATTCATATAAATCTTCATTCTCCTTATCAATTTGTCACTTGCTAGAGCAGATATAATAATGGATTGTGGAAAAGAAAATATAGGAGCACACATTCTGGTTTTGGATGTTTTCCTGAGAAGTGGGTGCAAGAGTGAGAGATATCAATGCTGTATGGAACCTTTCATACTGTTCTCAAGGAAAAGAAATTTTTATTGGCACTCCCCTGGTCACTTTGTCCCACCGCTTCATCCATTGCATTATTGGTTTTATTTTCCATTTTAGATGTTTTTGATTTTCTAAAATTTTGTCTATCACCTTGTTCATCTCTCTCTCACACCATTAAAGGTCTTTCCTGGCCATTGATGACTAGACCCTTGGGTTTAGTTTATTTCAGGTCTAGCTAAATTATCTATACGTGGCTTTGTTTGTTCAATTTTAAAAAATATCTTGTTTTACGTCATTTCTTGGATTTTGCAGCTACAGCCTTGCATTTAACTTCCAGGAGAAAGCAATTGAAGCTTGGGAAGGTCATGGTCCTAGTGCACAAGATGAACTCAAAGAAGCAAAGCGACTGCTTGAACAACTAAAGAAGAAGGCTCGTGATGCATCCTCAAACGAGCCTCCCATTAAGGCATTGCCCTTTCCCCACACTAATGAATTTAACAATACAGGGGCCTCACAACCTGGAGTTTCAGTCAGTGAGAAGCGATCTAGTGCAGTTTAGTGTATCACTCCACAATCTGAGGCATTATCAAGCATAATGGTGCACACTTCCCTTCCTGGTGAGATTTATACTGGGACTGGAGACGGATATTAAGTTTTAATTATAATCTTTCTGATGACATGTGTAACTAGTCCCTCAAGGTGCCCAACCAGATTTTTGGAAACCATTAATTCTGTTACATATAGATTTATATTAATTCTCACTCCTGTGGTTACCTGCCAATTTGGTCATGAAAGTGTTCGTTATAGTAACTGTTTTTTTTTTTTATAGTAATTATTTCAGCTCAAGAATCTCTCAGTAAGCCAATGCATTGGTACCTAATTACTGTACTTTTGTTCAAGGAAACAGGAGGTCCTCTCCTTCCCCATTTCCCCTTTTTTTTTTTATTTGGTTTGGATCTTGTAATAGCATGGTTCAAGCATTTGTTTAAAGATTTGGGGTGATTAGAAATCGGAGAGTGAAACAAGAGATTCTGTAAATTTATTTGTGGATAAAATTACACTCGCATCTCCTTAGATTTGACAAAATAACACGAATACCCATAATATCTGAGAAATAATACAGAAAACCTCCCGAGTTTAAGGTATTGTAATAGCTATGTTCTTCCTGTGGCAAAAGTTTATGTTTGAATCTCCTATTTGTTCTTATTTTTGTTGTCTATTTAATATTTTCAAACCGTAAAAAAGATGTCAAATAATAATTTCTTTACTGATTTTCGTCTAAAAACACTGATATGGGCCTCTGTGCCATCTCTTCCGTGTTTAGGGTATCTGTATCATTTAACATTCTTCCTCCCCCCTCCCTCTCTCTCTCTCATTATGCATAAAAGGAGAGTAGATAAATCACAATCATTCTCATTCATTGAAGAGGAAGAAGCAACTAGATAAAGAGCCTTCTCCAGACATAGTGGCTTAGGCAATGATTCTCGCATGCAAGCCTGACCAATTCTTCTCTCTAATATCTATGTATAACTTCAATCCAAAACCTTCTTAGTGCAGTATAGTCTACATCAGAAACAAACTGTGCAATTCCTTCGTAAAAAAACTCAGAATCTCGATTTGAAGAAAAGAATGTCAGTGTGAAAGCCAAAACAGAGACTAATTCAAGTAATAACATATATTATGCAATTATCTCTAGAACTAAATAGGAAGAACTGCACTTCTGCATCCTCTTCCATGTCCAAACGAAAGGAATGGTCTTCGAACTCTGCTACTGCATTCCTCACTGTTTCTGACCTCTCTGAGATGCCTGTTTTGCCGTATGATCTCCTGAACTGTTAAGTAAACATGGCGGTCAGCTGCAGAATCCATTGAGAAAGATCTCCTGATTGGTTGAACGCCGAATTGATCATCTTTCTCTCTCACATTAATGCCCTCATCTCCCATGATTGAAGCATGATGGGATTTTCTTGGTTTCGATTTTCCAAGCTTCTGTTGGAACTGACTTGATGAATGACTTCTGGATTGCACCAAATGTTCCATTGAGTCACTTCTGTCCTGTGGTCTATCCGATAACATGCCTGTTCCATCTTCTTCATTCAATTCAATAACAACAAAATCTTCTTCACTACCCACAAGGCTCCTGACAAAGGGCTGTGGATCTTGAGGTGAAGAAGTCGGGGCAATGATTCGATCCATGGGATATGTTGTTCTGCCTGAAATGCTTGATCTGCAAAGTGGACAATTAGCATTGCTTTGAAGCCACACATCAATGCAGTCTAAGTGGAAGGCATGACTGCATTTAGGAAGAACTTTCAGCATATCTTCTTCTTGGAATTCTGCTAAACAAACCACACACTTGGACAATCCTCTTTCTTCACTTTCACCTTCTCCTTTACTATATCGAAAAGTTGGGATTTCGCGAATGAACAAGTCATCGAGTCCTCGACTCTGCCATGAGGGAGAGTAGGCCATTAAAGGGTCTTCACTTCGCCGTGCTCGCGTGATGGAAAAGCGTCTCAGTGGATCGACTTGTTGCCAGTTTAAGCAGCATTTTGTCACAAAGATACAGTAACTTACTAGTAAGAAAGCTGTGCCCATGATGCCTAGTACTGCAATGGCTAGTATTGGGAAACCATTGTCTGAAAAAGGCAATGAAGATTGAGAAGTTGAGTTTTGCTGGTTCTTGATTGGAGGGAGAACTTGGGATTCATGGATGTAGATGTGTTTCTGTAATGAATCCATGAGAGAAGGGTTTGTAGAAAACATGCGAGAAGAAGATACTTTTGAAGCAAAGGTGATGATTTTGACTAATGGGGCTTTCAAGATCTGGAACAGGAACTACAAGTGAATCAAATGAAGGGAATATTATAACAAAACACCACACACACACCCCCACGAGAGAGAGAGAGAGAGAGAGAGAGTGAGATTAGTATCAGTGTATGAAGAGCTCAAAGTCAATAATCATATAAAAGGACTGGCATTGAATGAGGGGGAAAAGTTTGGAGGAAACACATGACATGACCTTTGAAGATGCTGTTGCATGGAGATGGGAGTTGGAGAGAGAAAAACCAAGTTGACTCAATGACATTGCTGTTTGATAGGTATTTTTGAGAAAGAGATGGTTTAAAGTTGTGAGTAAGGTCTAGAAGATTGGTCTTTACAATACTTCATTGCCCATGTGGTGCAGCCTGCACGACAAGCCATTTGGAAAAATAGGAAAATATACATGTCGCCTGATTTGTGGTAGGACACATGGATCTGAGAGATTATAAATGGACTCTTTTATGAGTTTTCCCAATTCTTTATGAATTTTGATAAATAAATAGGACAAACTTCGAGGTTATTGACAGTACCATGGACTTTTCTCAACCAACATGCATGAGCAAAGCAATAAGTTGTATATTAAAGAGGGCAACAAAGGGTGGAACAAGTGCAATATGAGTTTCAGAGTGAGTGACATTTAAAGATCTATACTTTTTAAGAGAGCCAAATAATGTCGTGAAAATTAGGGTTTTTTTGCACTTTGAACCATAATTTTTAAAAAAATTTTCAGTTTGTACTTTTAATTATTAAATTTTTTATATTATATCTTCAAAGTATTAAAAGTATTGTAATATGACTTTTCTGTTAACTTTCGTTATTTTTTTTGTCAATAATCAACCTATTGACATTGATATAAAACTAACAAAAAGGGTACATTACAATGATTTTGATACATTGAGAGTAAAATATAAAAATTTTAATCTTTGAGGGTACACAATAAATAATCTTAAAATCTTTTAGGATATAATGTGAAATTCACCCTAAAAATTAATAGCAAGTTAAGGGGTCAAAACATAATTTTCAAAATTTCACTACATAAGTGATTGGACAACACTCACAAAGCTTAGGTACCATAAGGTAAATTTTTTTTTTTAGTATTTTTCTGTTTTGCTTGCCTTTTAAAGTACTTTTTTAAGTAATATTTAATTTTGTCTTTTTTTATTTTTTTTTGCTTCTTTTTCCTCTTAAGAACTTGCTATATATGTGCTTATCACTAATATATTAAAATGCATATAAATCACGTTTATGAAATAATAAAGGCCAATATGTTTTGACTTTTTGATGAAAAATATTTTTTAATTAAAAAACTGTTATTAAAGGATACATTGCCAGTTCACATCGGCCACGTGGCACAACATTTCCGACCTAGTGACCCATATATCTCCGGCGTGGGTAACCTAATAAATGACATCCCTTTTTGAGCTTCCTATGTGTGAGTAGAAAAGGCAACAATAAGAATACAAACATGGGACATCAGTGTCCCAAAGGTTGGGTCAAAAATTCATTGCTAGGCAAATCCGGACCATGGCTTTAGAGTGGGGACTCGAATCCTCTTTAGCGTTACATGCTTTGGCTTCTAGATCACCCCTCATGATTTCAAATAGAGTTTATTGGATAATGTATGTGTGAGAATCTTACATCGAAAAAAAAAAAGAGAGGTTAAAGTATTATAATTTATCGTTGATAAGCTAACCAACTTATAATCTTAAACTTTTAATTGGGTATGAATTCTAAACATAAATATTGGGTCTTGAATCATTACTTATAATCTTAAAATTATAATTTTTTTAATTGCATGATTTAAAATTAAAGTAAAAAAGAGAAAATAAAGAGATGTAAATGTGTATTAAAATTAAATGGGATTGTTTAGAATTATGTAGTGTGTTGGTTGAGTTATTTGATATTAAAGATATGTTTTTGAATAAATTTTTTTTAAAATTAATTCCATATCTTACATTAAAATAAATTAAAAATTAGATTAATCTTGACCTTGGTAAAAATTCAAATTCCTAATTGATATCAAATGCATTATCGTTGGTTCAACCTAGGGTGTTCAAGGGCCGGGCAAAAAGCCTGCGCCATAAAGTATCAAGATTGGGTAGGTAAGTCATGCGTGACACAGCCTAGCCCAAGTCTCATGTCTGTTTCTGTCCATGAGTTATTTTTCGGCCCAGACTAGTGAGCCCGTGGGCTTTTTTTTATTATAATTTATAATATAATATGGCTTATAAATGATGACTTATATACTTATTAGTTATAACCCGTGACTTATAGGTACCCCGTATCTGAAGATATGATAAAACATATGATTTGAGCTTTCAAAATATTGATTCCACTATATAAAATGACAATTTTTATTTATTCGTTTATTCGATTACATCATTTAAAATTAATATTAACTTATTATTTTTTTAAAAATAGTGTCAATTTTTTTTTAAAATTAATAACTCGATAAAATTTTTTCTAACACCTATACACTATTGTGTATGGACAATATATAAAATAAAAATTGTACTAAATTATAAATTAATCAAATATTAAATGACTTAACATATAATAAAATTGAGTAATGTGATTTTTTTTTAGGGGAAATATATAAGGGAAAAAAAATCAACTTCTTTCCTATCTTATTATATTGATATTTCTTATGAATTTCTCCAATATAACTCGTAGTTTATTCATAAATAACTTAATATAGCATATGAATTCAGGACTTAAAATTATAACAAAAGAAAACATTGTAGGCCAGACTTTTTTGGGCAAATTTACAGGCCAGGTAACATTTGGGGGTAGAAACCATAGTTTATCAACCGCATAAAGATTGTAGGTAAGTTGCATTTCGGCCTAAGCCGCAACAGCTCGAGCAAGAGGGCTGGTTGGGCCTATTTTGGGTCAAGCCGAATTTGATAAGATTTTGCTGGCCAGCCATTGGGCAATGGGCCAGCTCAACCCATAAATACGCCCAGTTGCAGCTGCACGCTTTGGATTATAGGGTTTGGCCAGATTAATAAACAATGCGAAGGAAGAATATAACAATTCTAGAAGTTCTGACCAATTATTGCACCAATCCGCAACGTGGCATGTTTCTACTCGAGGACTAGACGCAACAGCATAAAGGTTTTTTTCTTTTTTTATTTATTTATTTTTGGGATAAAGAAACAATGCAACAGCATAAAGGTGTTCCATACATAATACAATACTAACCTATTTCAATGCGTTTTCTTTCTCTATCCCTAGCAAGCGGTCTCAAGTTGCACTTTCTACAAAGTAACAAAAAGTTTTTGACTCACTTATATATTCTCGTATTTTCCTCCAAAGGCTCAAGACTATATGAAGTACCCATATTATAGATTTATAGGGCTCTCTAAAACCTTCTAGAAGCAAAAAGTGACACTAGGCTAGGCTAGACCTAGCCTAGCCATTGCTTCCATGCACGGATAATCCAACATTGCTCCTTTGATAGACTGAACCAATCCTATCCTCTTGAGCCCACCAAATTGACTCAATCAATCTTCAGGCCTGGCTCGTCTTGTTTAACAAAACAAAAACAGCACAATGTTTTTGTTAAACTAACTAAAGGCACTTGTTATTAACATCTAAAATAATATTTCTATGAAATTAATAATATTTTTTTTATTTTCGACTAGCTGCTGAGTTCGAATGAGTAGCCGATAGATACAACTCTAAACATCCTATAACAAAAAAAAAAAAATTAATTAAATAAAACGTAATCTTTTAAGTTTTTTTGTGAATTTATTTATACTATCTTTGATGAAAGTAAATGTGTCTCCAAGAGAGAGGTGGTTCTTAGACAGGGCTTGTCGTGGATTTCTGTGCTTTTAACTTGCACACGGATACCAGCAACATATCATCCAAACTATCCCCGCCCACAAAATTTCACAACAGCACTTGCCAATGTTTTTGCAGTTACCAAGTGGATGAATTATTCTTAGTGAGATATATTACTGTGTTTGGACCATCCAAGTTTAATTAATCTTAGGCATCTCACCTAGAAATAGATCATACTCATTTGAATACTACGGTCTTTAATGTGATAACAAGCCATGTATAAAATGTATTCATGAGAGATAAATTTTGTAAGTCTAATCCTAAAGAATTACTAAAATTTGAATACAAGACATTTAGATTTGCACAGCTTATCCCAATTCTTGGAGTTTCAATACATGTTGTTGTTACTTCTTAACGGACCATTATTCTTATTATTCTTTTTCTTAATGGCTTATTTATATACTAGATTTGTAAAAGTCGCCCCTAACCTGTTTGAAATAAGAATCAATATTTTGTTTTAACACATTTTTTGATAACTTAAGAAACAAAAATATTTTGGAAGTAGATAAAAAATTTAATTTTTTATAAAAAAAATATAGTCAAAACTTATCGAAACAATTCGGAACATCAAAATTTTTTAACATTCAATAACAATTTTTTTTTTTTTGTTTTTGTCAAAACGAAAACATTTCGAACGTTCCTCCGATGACTCTACCGCAGCAAAGGTCAATTGCCTTGGCTTACGTTGGTCACCACTGTTTAGAGCAACGTAAGCATATGCTATCATCTTTGTTAAGTCATACATGTGCTAAATATAATCCACCCAACGTGACCATCAGAATCTAACCTACGTACTAGCTTCTATTATTGTTATTATTATATATAAATCACATCCTATTTTCACTAGTAATCTAATCAAACCCACCTAAGTTGATAATTCCCACACTAACCATATAAAAATTAACCCATCAAGTCACTTAAACGTATATAATTAGTGTAAGGTTATAATCCTTTCACTTTCTGCTTACTTTTTTTTTATTATTTCAACAAATTAACGAACATTAGCTGAATTGACATACACCAGAGCACCCCCTGATTCTGATTACCTTATTTGAATACATAGATTTGGAGAGAAAGGTACACAGAGAAAGAGTCTTTTCTTAAGCCATCAGCATGGTCATTCATGTCCTGCTCCTGGAGAACTTTTGAAGATTTCTAATTTATAATTGATGCTGATCAGGAACAAATCAAATATTGACCTTTTTGTCCAATTGAATACTATATCCACACTGTATAAATGGTATGACAGAGAGAGAATAGTTCTGTAGTCTGTCATTAACTTGAGACAATGGAGGAAAATCCAAAGGGGAAGGTGAATGAAGAGAAGGAAGGGGAAGTTAGATACAGAGGCGTAAGGAGAAGGCCGTGGGGAAAATATGCAGCTGAGATTCGGGATTCGAATAGGCAAGGAGTCCGGGTGTGGCTTGGGACTTTTGCAACAGCAGAGGAAGCAGCAAGAGCTTATGATCGAGCCGCGCATGCAATGAGAGGTCATCTAGCAGTTCTCAACTTCCCCGACGAATATCCCCCTTCATCATCGTCATCATCAGCTTTGTCGTCATCATCATTGGCATCGTCCTCCTCCTCTTCCATGGTTGAGAATGTGGAGGGCAGAAGAGAAGTTTTCGAATTTGAATACTTGGATGATAAGTTGTTAGAGGATCTTCTTGAGTATGGGGAGAAGAAAAATAATGATTGACAATACCAAATATAGCTGGGACAGAAGAATTCTTATTAGAATTCTGTCTATGGAAATACTTGTCCTGATTTCATGTTCCCAACACGTACTAAATTCTGTATAATTATTCTGTATTTTTGACTTTTGAGCTACTCTGAAGCTTCTCTTTGACTTCCTATGTCAAATAAATTGTTTTCTTTGACTTGGGTGCTTCTAATAAGACATTAATTTATGGTCTACCCCTGTATCAGGTTGATAACAGAGTGCCCTGTTTTTCCCCTGTTTCGGTTTGATGGCAGAGTGTCCTGTTTTTCACTTTGAAACTAGAATGCTATTGGTCCTCTGCTTCTTGCAGCTGTTTCATGGTTAGATCAGCTATCAAACTACTTTGATAAGAGAGTGAATGCTATGATTGTTAATTCTTCTCTGAAAAAATTTGACACTGTGGCAAGATAGAAGGACAAGAATGTAAGTCCTAATGCAAGGGGGGTTATAGTAAACTGATAGTGTAGGGTGCAAGACAGAAGGTTGAACGAGTTGAGAGATCAATCAATGGTTAAATAAAGTTACAAAACCGTCAACCCGAACCCATTTTCCAAACCAAACAAGAACTAACCGTTTTAGATTTTTGAATTTCGTTGCACATTCGGTCTGGGAGGTTGAAATCCTAATTTGATTCTGCTATTACACAATTTGGGGGTTAATTCGAATTGCAATTAACCAGAGGTAATGAATTAGGGATAGGTTCGGGTTAAGTCCTGAAAACCAATAAAAGAATTGTCAGAATTTAAATTGGGTCGATATTTTCTTCACTCATTTAATTTAATTCTAAAAATCTCTATCTAATTATTGAATAATTTTTGTTTGGGTTCAAGTTGACCTACCCCGTTTGTACATCTATAATAATCAAATCGGAGTTAACACCTTACGATTTTTCAATAAAGGGTAGCAATGCAGTCATATAATGAAGACTCGTGTTGTGGATTTGGAAAATTGAATTCATTTTCAACAATAAAGAGTGAAATTGGATTTACTTTCATAATATAAGAAAATTTGAGTAGAGAGTTATCTTGGGAAGTTTAAGAAGTGGATTGATCTGTAGAGCTTGTAACCGTCTAAGCAAACGTCTACCCTACGATTTTTCAGAAAAAGGGTAGCAATGCAGTCATATAATGAAGACTTTGTTACAAGGAATACACTTCATTAACCAAAAACTATAGTCTAAAACTACTTAAAACTAAAATCTCTTGCTCTACTCCTAAACATTTCAAGTAACATAAAGCAATTGACAGCCCTTGTGATGAACCTATAAGCAATAAGCCATATGAGATCACTAATGACATAATTACAGTGTCGTATCACATATGCTCTCACTGATAAATTTAATTACGTCTCATTTTCCATGAATTAAATTAATTAATTATATTCATTAATGACTATGACTCTTATACAACGACATATGAGAGATACATAATCAAAGTGACATCACCACCATTTTGATGTCATGATCCAGAGAGGTGCACTATCATACACAAAAAAGGATACGTACATAATTAATTAAATAATCAAGCTTTGTTATCCAATCATTGGGATTTTTTTTTTGGGGGGTGGGTGGTGGGTGGGTTCTTCATAGCAAATTGATTATGCAAGCAAGATGATGAATTAAATGAAACGTAATCAAATGACATAATAAGCTTTGCTAATTGATGTCTCTCTATGTGTCTACTATGACTTCACTAATATACCTTAGTAAAATACCTGCAGTGGCTTCCATATTTTGACTAAGGGTTAAGGGGGCGGATCCGAAATGCAGGGAGGTTGTTTTACAATAAAAACCTTGACTTTGCGAGTTTAAATCACGGAAATAATTTTTTTTTTTAAAAAAATGGTATTCCATTCATTTGTCCTTAATAAATTTTCATAGGTAAATGAAATCGAAGCAATCCAGCTTTAGAAAATCTTTCCTTTTTGGCTTCACTTGAGCGATTTATGCAATTCAAGAGAAAGAAGAAGTCAAATTGTGATCGGTTTCTTATCAATTGTCTCAGTTTTTTCTTTCAGTTGAAATTTCTAATCTCGTGTACTAAGTGTGACTTAAAATAATTAATGATTCCTAAAGTAGAGGAGGTGATGACAAACTATAAGCAACATGACGTCTCTATTCACCATCACCAACCTGACCCAGACCATGAAATTAATGTAGAATTATGCAGAGAAGTTGACCTTATGAAGCATAAAGCCTCAAAATAATGAAAAGTGAGGTAATTTTTTCCTTATTATTTTTGTTGCATTGATAACGTAAATACGATGATGTATTAGAGCAACGTAATCCAATGACCTCACTCACCAACCTGATTATTTAACAAAAAAAAAAAAAACCAATTATATTAAATCAACAAAACATACGCATGAAAAGTGTCGCTCTAAAATATCTCTTGATCAAATCTGATCATTTATCAATGGAACGACTATTTTACACGCAAAATTTACCTTTCTACACTTGTAAATTGGAAATTAAACGCTCTAATTTATCTCCTTTATTACTCTAATGTATCTCTTTTATCTGTTCTAAAAATGATAGATCTAGAAGAAATCGCTTAAAATTAAAAAAAAAAATTAGTAAAATAATTTAATATTTACCAAGTGATTTTTACAATTATATAAAATATGTCAGTCTTAACTTTTTTCCTCACTCCCACACCCACTCCCATCTTATGTACACCAAGAAATACCAAGTGATTAGTGAATCTAACGGCCTTGGAGTCAATACAGTTAAATACTAAGTGATGATGTTAGTGTTTGGTGTTATAATGTCAATTTCTGGAGTCAGCGTCATGAAATCACACTACGGAAAATTATAATGTTATTTAGACTTAATTTGCTGACCTAATTTACTTGGCCAATATATCAAAGTCATTGAGTTTATAGTGTGTCTTAACTAATACTAGAGATAATTCATACCTGAAGGCACAAGGGTGAAAATCCAAGAGAGAGAGAGTAAAGAGTGAGGAGGTGAAGGTAAAATTCAATGTGAATGGTTTTGAAGAGAGATGTTAGTAGTCGTTGAATGAATCTATTTGATACAGTTGGATAAACTTATTGAAACCTATTATATTTTATATTATAGATTGTGCTCCACTCAGTATTAATCCAATGATAGTAGTTTATAGTGTATATCAATTAAATTTGTGTTGTAATCACGACTTCGAAAAATAGATAGTTTTTGGTATGAAAAATAAATAAATTCTAACATCATTTTTTTTATATTATAAAGTGTTCAAGTTTACGTCGATTATTTCTTCGAACTTAGTGATTGGTCACTAAAACTTGAACTGTGTCAAATCATATCCTTCAAATGACAAAGATGATTAACTCTTAATGGGTGTGAGTAAAATTGAATCTAAGAACTCTAAAAATACTAATCATCAAACTCAACCACCCCTGTAAGGATTAAATTCCAACATCATTTGTGACGGAAGAGACCTGTGAAACTCGTGTGAGTGCTCTAGCTGGGTTTGATTTGAAGAGGGAAACCAATGAGAGGAATCTTCTAAATCCAGGCTAAAAACCAGTATGTGCAGGCCAGAGGATAACGTAAAAATTTGATCATGGGCTTAATAGGAGTCCAACAGATCTTAACGGCCCATCTAACATGTAAATTAATGCCCAATTAAATTTTAGGGCCAAGTAACAGGCTGGAGGGCCCATGGTATTCACGAATAGTTTTTTTATTCAATTTTATTTGAAAATTATAAAATCTGATTACCGAACCCAAATTAAACTAGATTTCAATCAGAATTGAATCCGAGAATTTCATCTGAAATAATCGTTTTTTGGTCTTCCTCTATAAATTTGGGCTTAATCGAGAATATTGGACCCATTTGGAGAAGATTGTTTTTCTTTGAAAACCATTGAGAATAAGTTTCATTTTTCTTGGTGCTAATAAAAATTATTTTTACACAAAAAGTTGATAGAAAAACCATTCAATAAGCTCGAGTCCAAACAGACCATACTTTTTTTTCTTTTGAAATAAAATAAAAAAAAATTGAAGTTTTAAACGAGTTATAAATAGGCCCATTGTAAAATCCAAATTCGAGCAACAATGTGGAGGAAAGATTTGGATGGAGAGTTCTAATAACTTGATTTTAAGTTCGACTTTAAGTCAATATGCACAATCTCGGGTTACTCAATCATTATCGGATTGTTCAAACAAAGAGAGCACCACGTGATGGTTCAAAGTAAGAAGAGAATTTTCTCTTTTCTTCCCATTTCCTCAACTCAATTCAATAAAATCAAGTCCCAAAAAATAACCTTGGACTATCTATCCCTCAATCTCACGCATATAGAAACTTCCAGGGAAAAAAAAGAAGAAGAAAACCTACCTGCTTGAGTTGAACATTACTTAGAACCCTAAAATTGAATTCATCATTGACAATGACAAAAAAATAAAAAAAATAGAAATATAAATGAAAAGAAAACAAAGTGATTTTCCAAGCAAGTTCCAAAGGAAGTCAAACAAAGCACATTCAAAGATGCAATTAAACCATTTAAACATTTTTTAATTGAGCTCACTGTGACTGTGTTCATGCATTGAGCCATGTTTTGTTAGTGAATAACTTAATAACACAGCAAAACATGACCAATCTCAGATTTCTTGGCCCCACATGGATCAATTTCACTAGATTTTCTGAAATCATGGTGACGAAACCTTGTATGAATTTTATAATTTGTTCATAGAATAGGCCATGTCATCATGATTTCATGGCTTTAGGGTATACTAATATGTGTGGTAGGGTAAGCATATACTTATCAGCAGAGGATATTCTTAGATTCTAAGGGCAGTCCTAACATGTCCTATTCTTAGGGTGCAATTTGAATGAGTTGGGCATGTTAATTTGTACTCAATTCAAAGTACAAAACATTCAACTTAAATTTAACAACCTCAATTGAATACAAGCGCTTTAAGAGTATTGACCATACTTAAAATTTTGAATTCTGTTTATAAAAATCGGATTTTAAAT